TTATTTGTCTATTTGTTTTCCTGAGAAACTATTTTGTAGACAATAATATGTAAAATGATAACCACTGATAATTTCCTACCATTTTGTCTGTAATTTGCTAAGTCCCCCCTATTATTATGTTATCCTTCTTTTATTCTTTAAAATAAAAAAAAAAAGTTGTCCACCTCAAATATATACAATGTCATATAAGTAATGAAGTTATTTTACGAAAACAAAACAAAAAAGTGAGCAGAGCCTTCGAGAACTATGAGACACCGTCAACATGCACATGTATGCAGTGGAAGTCCTTAAAAGGGGCAGAAAAATATTTGAAGAAATAATGTCTGGAAACTCCCCAAACTAGAAGAAAACATGAATCTACACATCCAAGCAGTGAAATCTGGGTAGCTTACATGCAAAGGATCCACGCCAAGATGCATGATAGATTGTTAAAAGCCACCAAGAGGATTTTGAAAGAGCGAGAGAGAAAACGCTGATCACATGTGGGAGATCTTGAAGGTTCGGTTCTGATTTGCTTGGTGGGCCACAGTGCTGGCGGGGGCCAAGTGTGCACAGCTCAGAGCTGAGCGCACGTCCCCAGGTGACTTTCTTGCTGCTCCCCACGGTGACACAAGGACAGGAAACACGGAGGCAGTGAGAGAAGAGGCGGCAGTGTGGGGGACCTGAGGATCAAGGACTGCCAGCGCCGTGGGGGTGTTTGGGTTTCTTATGAACACCACCATGGACCATCTGTGCAAGCCAGGGACACAAGGCCCAAGGACAGCAGGGAGGTGGCCATCCGACAGGCGGGGAGGAGCCGGGGATCGGACCGCAGCATCCTAGCTGGGCTGTACAGCCAGGGGGTGGGGCTGCCATGTCTCCAATGTGGGCCCTGGGTCTCTGTGAGAGAGGAGGGGCACAGAACCGGCCACTCGCTGTCACCGCTTCTGTGTTCTCACAAGGCCGCACCTGTAGGAAACCACACCCACACTGTTCTTGGATTTACTTGAGGAACAAGTAAATCTGGCAAGTGGTTGAGACTGCAGGAAGCTCCTTCGATTTCTTATTTCCCCAGGAAAGCAAACTCCAGGCTTGGAAACAGCTAGAAACTGAGGCTGGGGAGAGTGAGTGCTGGTGCCCTGTCATGGCCTGAGACCATCGTTAATAATTACATATCGCATATTTCAGGATATACTAGAGGGCAGGGTGGTGTTTTTTTTTTGTACCAGGAATCAAAACTCACGACCTCACGCTTGCCAGGCAAGTGCTGTGCCACTGAGCTACAACCCCGGCCAGAGGACAGGGTGTTGTATGTTCCTACCACAAAGAAATACATGATTAAGGCGATGGGTGTCAATTACCCTGATCCCATCATTACACGTAGTATCCGGGAAATCTGTACAATAGGCCTCAATTTTAAAGAAAGAAAAAGAAGTTGGAATGGAAGCAAGTGGTGTGAGTTCTTGAGGGGCGGTCCTCGAAGACAGCTGAAATAGAGGAGCTTGGGACGTCCTTCATCTGAAGGTGGGCAGCAGCCACAGCGCCTGGACACAGGAAACTCACTGGCCACGGAGAGGAGCCACGGATGGGCGGGGTGGACCTGAAGAACCCAGCAACCTCCAGGGATGTCATCACACAGGCAGCAGCTTCCAGAACTGTGTTGCTAACACACACATGCATACATGCAAATACACACACACACACACACACACACACACACACACACACAGCAATGAGCACTTAAACTGCATGGAGTCTGAACAAAGAAGTGCTGTAAATGTAAAATGCATACCAGAGTCCAAAGACTCAGCATACCAGAGTTCAAAAAGGAATGTAAGCTATGTAAAATATTGCATTGATAATTATACAGAGTAATTCCACACTGAAATTCTTTGACTATATTGGGGTAAATAAAATATGAGCACTTTACCTCTTTTTGCACTTCTAAAAATATGGCTAGTAGAAAATCTGTGATTGCTTCTGTGGCTGTTTTATTTCTAGCTTTTTGCTTTCCATCGCATGTCAAAGCTGACCCCACCATGGTATTCCTCCAAGGGAAGGAGGACACTTGAGAGACTTCCCCCGGGGAAACAGGTAAGTGAGTACAAGGCCCCTGTGGTCACAGCACACCCGCTGGTCTCCTCACATTGCTAACTAAAGTTTATCCAAACCTGGAAATGCAGCTCTTCTTGAAGCAGCCCTGAAAGGAGGCCAGTGTCACTTTGCTGGGGACTCCTGGGCCCTGCGACCTCCTGCGGACCCTGATGCTGTTACAGGGGTCCTGGCTCCTGAACTGCTGTCTCTGTGAATGTCACTGGCGCTTTGCAGAGCACCCTGAAAGCGTGCCCACATTCTGAATTAAGACAGCGCTGGCTGAGGGCCTGGAAGGTATTCTGATTCTAGAGCAGGCGAAAGAACATTTCCAAATCAGTAAGAAAAGATACAGAACCCAACTTGACAATAAACACAGGGGCAGTTTCTCACCTCAGGGGAAGATGGGAGAGGAGCCTTGTGAGGACCTGGAACAGGCACAATGCAGGGGCCACCCCCTGAAAACAGAAGCTGGGCCTTGGGAGGAGATGGCAGGGGGTTCAGATCCAGGGAAGACACAATGGCTCCCATCACCGGCACTGGACAGTCGGCTAACTGCTGTCCCCTACTCACAAACAGGGCTGCTTGGCCCCCTGTGCAGCACCTGCAGGGCTGGCTGAGCCTGACCAGTGACCCCACCCTTCCCGCTTGGGTCTGCCTTCAGCTGCCTCAGGCCTGTGTTGGGCATCTGTGCAGTTCCTGGCCAGGGCCAGCTGTAGGGAGGATGGGCAGCAAGGTCACCAGCGCCCCCAGGTGGCGCACTGTGGGACACAGGCACCTCCCGCAGGTCACCTGCGGTCTCTGGCACAGACGGATACCCACTTCACACCCACCTTTCCGCCCGTTGGGCCCTGACCTTTAGCAAATCCTTTTCCACCTCATTCCTCGTGCTCTGCCCTCACCCCAAGCACGGACGCACTGTCATCAGGAAAAGAAGAAAGCTTCGCAAAGGATGAGAAATAACACGACTCCTGAAATTGGAAAGACCCAACCTTAAAATGTGTTTGATCTTCCTGAAACATGTAGCTCGGTATTTATGAAGTCCCTTACACGGCCCTGAGGGATTTCATTGGCAAGTGCGTTCCTCTGTCTTGCACGCTTAGCACCATCTTAGTGAGCCTTGATTGTGCCCGAGGGACTTTGCGGGGGGGTGATGGGTGCAGTCGTGGGCTTTGGAGAAAGGTGGAGGCCCTGGCATGAGGTTACCTTGGTCTAGCCAGTAGGCACTGAGGGCCTCTTGGGCTCAAGGTGGGGAAAGAAAACCCAAGGGACCTTGATAAGCCCTGAGGGGATTGTCCCAGAGCCCACGGGCCCATCCTTGGGGAAGTGCGTGACTCCATCACCTCCCCCTGCACCCGCCCACCACCGTGGATTCCACACCCGCAGGATGTGAGGGACGGCAGTGTCAGGGCCACACTGAGCTGCGGTGCAGCTTCCTTCCTTCTGCAGAGAATGGGACGCTTCAGAATCCCATGCCTCTTCCCTTGGCCCAACCCTGAAGCTGCACAGCCACGATCCTGGTCCTCGACGCTGAACACCTGTCCAGTGGCCCCTCAGGCAGGTAACCGGGGCTCACTCAGGACGACGCAGCACCAGCGCAGTGCAGGTCAAGGCGACAGCAGCCACAACCACCAGGTCTGTTTATTGTCCTGAACGAGCTCTTCTATATTAATAAATGTCCTGTGTATGTATGTTAGCAGAACAGTTCAGAGGCTTTGCTACTCCAGCACCGCGACCCAGACTGAAATCACCACCTCTAGAAGAGAGGGGTCGGAGTCACGCGTTCCTGCTGATGGTTTCACTGAGGCCAGCAGCAAAGGATGGAGACCGATGAGCTCAATGCGGAAGCGTGAAGTTCAACCTCTACATGGTAATTTGGAGCCACCTACACGACGCAGAGTGGTGTGCACTTTGCTGGCATTGTGTTAACGAGGGCAAAGAGCATGCGTGAGTTACATACGTACTGTGTGGCCCATGGGGGCCTGGACATGTGTCCTATATGTTTTCATCCGGCCCCAGGACAACACAGATGGGCCTGGGCTCCCTGGCGCCCCTGAGGATGGCGGGATGAGACCTTTCAGCTTTGAACCATGTGCAGTTGTTATCTACTGAAAAATAAATTAAAAATTAAAAGCCAAATTCCCTCCAAAAAATCCCCAGCAATGAACCAGTAAAGCGCATACATTGAGTATATCACAGTCCAAGGTGTGTTGGAGCAACCCACGTGGTACTAGTGGCTTCTACCATTCAAAAATAAAAAAGAATTTTTTTCTCAGTACTGAGGATTGAACCCAGGGCCTTCACACTGAGCTATATCTCCTGCCTTTTTTCTTACTGCTATTTTGAGACAGGGTCTTGCAAAATCACCAAGTTGCCCACGCTGGGCTCAAACTTCTCATCCTCCTGCCTCGGCCTACCAGAATGCTGGAATTACAGGCATGTGTCATTATGCCCAGCTCTAAAGAAATAAAAAGAATCTTAAGAGTTTCTCTCAAGCTCAGTTCCCAGTCTCAGATGCACACTTCGGAAGCAGAGCAGCCAGTGCTGAGCGGCTCCTTCAGCGAGGGCCCTCGGCTGCCTCGGGCGTGCCGGTCATCAGGGCTGCGGCTCTCGGGGTTGCTGAGCTGGTCCCCCTGCTCTGGGCTGAACTCAGTGTCGAAGAGTGAGGTGATGAGGCTGTTCCCCGCGTCTAGAGCCAGGTCGTGGGCTGTTTGGCCTCGAGCAGTCACCTTCTGGAGCCTCACACTGCACCTGTGAAGAAAATGGGCACGGAGAAGGCCCCAAAGGGCTCACACAGGATCTGAGCGCCTGACTCCTCCCTGCGGAGGCCGGTCCGCACCTACCGGTTTCGTCTCCCCCGGCTGGCCCTGGGAGGCCACCGCCACTGTGGACCCGCGTGATTTCAGGCCCAGTGTGGTCCCCACAGCACCAACATCCTACAGTGAAGTGTGCTGAATGTGGGGACACTCTCAGGGTGCTCTGAAAAGCCCCAGTGACCCAGATATTCACAGGGGCAGCAGGTCAGGAGCCTCTGGGTCTGCAGGAGGTCGCAGGGCCCAGGAGATCCCAGCAGAGCGGAGCCACCCTTCTTTCCAGCCAGGCCAAGCAGGGCTGCTTCGGGAAGAGCTGCATTTCCAGGCTTGGATAAACCTTAGTTAGCAACGTGAGGAGAAAAGCAGGTCTGTTGTGATCACAGGGGCCTTGGTTTTGCTCCCTGACCTATTTCCCGGGGGAAAGTCTCTCCAGTGTCCCCCTTCCCTTGGAGGAATGCCATGGTGGTATTTGATATGCGATGGAAAGCAGAAAGCTAGAGATAGTCATTTTTTAATGTGAGAAAACCACAGAAGTAAGCCGGGAGTGGTGGCGCACGCCTGTAATCCCAGCACTTGGGAGGTTGAGGCAGTAAGACTGTTACAAGTTCGAGGCCAGCCTGAGCTACAAAGTGAGCTCAAGGCCAGCCTGAACTGCATAGTGAGACCCTGTCTCAAAAAGACCAAACACAAACAAACAAACAACAAACCCACAGAAGTGTGGCTTGTAACTGACTTAGTAAATGCTGCTAAATACAGTTTTAGTAAATTTGCTGCAAGAGTCTGGGAAATGTACTGGATACAGAGCGTCCTCGAGCTCACACCTCTGGGCGCTGTCTGCACAGGGACTCTGCAGGGGCAGCTCCCCCGGCTGTGTGGAGAGAACAGTGTGCTTTTGGTGAGTCTGGCTGACATGATTGGAAGATTAACCCAGCAGGACAGCCTGTGAGGTCAGGGCCAGTGTGTCTGGCTGTTTCTCCAGCTTTCCTGGTAAGGTCTGACCTGGTCGGGGAGAATTTGATGGCTGAAATGGAGGCTGTGTCCGTACGTGAATCCCAGAAAGGCTGCTCAGTCTGAGGTGGCAGGAGACAGGGAAGGTAGGAGTCACGACTGGAAATAGCAATGAGGGAGGCAATGGAAAGCTGTGCTCTCCCAGCCCGCCATCTACTTTTGATACCCCCGACCCCCAACATGGGCAGCCTAAGTTTACTACAGTGGAGAAAGAGTATGGCGGTCTCCTCCTTGAAGAGGATGAAGTGAGCCCTTCCATTTCCCAGCATGCCCTGGTCCTAGCCCAGGAGCAGCGCCCTCTCCTATAGAGCTCTGGGTTGACAGACTCCCCTGGGGCACAGGCTCCCACTCACCAACCCTTCCCCCTCAAACATGGCGGACAACAAAGCCTCCCAGATGTCCCAGAAATCTCCGCGGCACCAAAGAGAAGAACAAGCTAAAGGAACAGGAGACACTTTTTAAAAACACAAAAACCTAATTGGCTTCCTCAGAATGATTTAACACAATGTCACAAAAACAGGAAACAATCGGCACTCCAGGTAATTCCTGGAAGGGGGAATGGGACTGCTGAAATGAAAACTGCTCAGTGGGAGAGATGAGCAATAAAGTTAAGAGAATCTCCAGAGAGAGAGAGAGAGAGAGAGAGAGAGAGAGAGAGAGAGAGAGAGAGAGAGAGAAAATACAGGCAAAAAGAAAACAAAGAAGACACCAGGAATCAATCTAAAAGGCCCACCCTCCAACTAATAGCTCCAGAAGGAGAAAACAGAAAGAGTGGAGGGGAGAAAAAACACCAAAGAGATAACAGAAGAAAAGCATCCCGGGCTGAAGACAGACATGACTTTTTAGACTGAAAGGACCAACTGGGTGAAGGCAAAACATCACATCTACAAATACACTTGGGAAATTTAACACCAAACGGAAATACTTCCAGAAAGAACAACAAACAGATCACAAAAGGAGCAAGAATTTGCAACACAATTTTCATGGCCGATCCTGGATGCTAGAAATCCATATAGTAAGGCTTTCCAAGAATCAAGGAAAAATTATTTTTAATACAGAAGTTAATGTCAAATTATTCATCAAGAGTAAAGGCTGGGGCCAGAGATGTGGCTCTGTGTAGGGCCTCACGGGCATGCAGTTCTGGGTCCAATTCTCAGTGCTATGAACAAAAACCTCAGAAAGTTTATATTCTCTTTCTGGATCCAATTCAGAGCTTCACACATGCCAGGCAAGCACTCTGCCACCCATAGCTCTCCTCATCTTTTTTGAAAAAGCAACTTCAGGACACACTCTTGCCTGACAGGAGTCAAAACCAAAAAAGAGACAGACACCAATGAAAAGAAATCCCATGATAACAACTGTGTAGTTGGCATGAAAAGCTGCCAGGCCAAATCTGTGTAGAATGTGTACTTCAAAACGAGTGTTTCTAAAAAGAATGGCATTTAAAGAGAAAGAAAACAGATGGGATGGTGGATGTGCCGAAGGCGTGTTCTTTTCCAAACTGTGGTTGACAGGAAGGACTCAGAAACTCCAGAAAAATCAAAGACTTTAAAAACTGCACAAATAGTCTGCCATGGTGGCACAGATCTGTAATCCTATCGCTCTGGAGGCTGAGGCAGGAGAATCACCACAGGAGGCCAGCCCGGGCTATATAGTGAGTTCAAGGCTAGTCTGAACTGTATATTCCAAAAAAACAAAACAAAAAAGTCTGCACAAGTTGTTCATGGTTTGAGAAAGAAAATAAAATGCGACATGATTTTGAATGATCTGTGGCGTGTAAGAAGAATCTGACATTTCTGCTAAGAAAATTCTGCTTTGGCCTAAGGATCATGAGTGATCTCATACCAAGAAAACAAAATCCCAGCAGAGCACTTGGTTTTGCAATGGGCAGTATTTATGGAGCTATTTACAGTGCGATTGTCTCTGTTGCTTTTGAACGGTTGCAATCAGCCTATGGGCAAAGGACAGAAATTTATTATGTTAACACGAGTGGAGACGACTGGATCAGCCTCGCAGAAGTTAACTGTGTGCTAGTGGAAGTTTCGAGGTGGGGCTGGGCTCAGTGGCACACACCAGGCATGGTTATCCCCGCACTCGGGAGGCTGAGGCAGGAGGACTGTTGTGAGTTCACAGCCAGCCTGCACCACATAGTGAGACCTTGTCTCAACCAAACTAAACCATACCGAAACAAACCAAAAGTTGTGAGGTGGGATTAGGAAGGAAGAGGTAAAGGTAGGCAAAGGTAGAGGTAAAGTGCTACTATCCTTTCGCATACAAGGCAGCCAAGAGTTTCCACTGAAAGGCGATGGTCAAAACACAGAAATTGTCATGTGATCAAAACAGCAAGGCAAGGTAGGAAGGACCAGGGGAGACCGGCAAGCCCAAGCAAGGACTCCTGAGTGAGCTAACTCTGGAGTCGGGCTTAGGCGTGTTGGTAGTGACGGAAATGCACCGGTTATCACTGGCTCCCCAGGAAGTGTCAATGTTTACATGCAGCTGTCTCAGGAGACAAAAAGGTAGGGCGGCAGAGGATGGCGCCTTCCTCCCACTGGATCCAATTTTTGTTTTATCATGTGCACACTTTACTTTGATAAAATTCAAGTTATTTGATAGGTATGAATTGTTTTCAGGACACACATATTTTTAAAAACCTTTCTGTCAGATGAATCATAAATAACCTCGCTCTGGACCAAAATGAAAGATGCTGCGGCAACGCAGCTAGGCAAGTTGGTTCCAATACTTCCGGCCCTGGCACAGCCGGGCGGGCATCAGTGCTTTCTGACCTCGCCCTCCTGCCGCCCTTTATTTTCTCTGCAGCAGTTAGCACTCTCTGAATTACACTCTCAGCATTACAAACAAAAACCTCAGAACGCTTATTCTCTCTCTCTCTCCAGCGAGCTAACAAAATGTATTACCATTTATAAAAGTAGAGAAGTGACTATTCTTAGGCCATTTAAAAATTTTTGTTTTACCCAGCTAGGAAAACAGAGCTATGAGCTGGGGGTATAGCTCAGCGGCACAAGCGCCTATTTGGCAAGTGCAAGGCCCTGAGTTCGACTCCCGGTACCAAAAAGATTAACCAAACAATGTAAGTACAAACCGTTCTTTGCCGGGCATGCAGCCTGGGGTACAAAGTGAGCTCAGGGTCAGCCTGAACTGTGTATCGAGACCCTGTCTCAAAAAGACAGAAACAAAAAAACCAAAAAACACAGCTGCGAAGCCTGGTATGAAGGAAGACATTGAGCAGGACGGCTCCGGGGTTCAGACAGACAGTGGAGGTGGCAGGAGTCCACCACAGCAGAGCCCCACGAGCCCGAGCTCCGCCCCAGGGCACCCAGCTGGCCCTTCCACATTTCACTTACGGCCCCTGCTGGTCCTTGTCGGCTCCTCTCCGAGTGAGAACCCGAATGGCTTCCTGGTGCTTATTCAAGGCAGCCACGGCTACAGCAGATGGGCCCTCGCTGTCACTGCAGTTGGGGTCTGCATCCTGCAGCACATGGGGAAGGAGGAGCTTGGCACAAAACTCTGACTACAGCGGTCTCCCGATACCACCCTATGAGGCACAAGTCCTGTTAAAGAAGTGACAGAGCCAGGCTCTGTGACACTGCATGCCTGTCATGCTAGCACTCTGGGAGGCTGAGGCAGGAGGATGGCAAGTTTTAGCTCAGTCCAGGCAACTTAGCGACTGAGTGAGACCCTGTCTCTAAATAACAAAAAAGGTTGGGGAAGTGGGTCAGTGCAAAGATCTTCTGCTCAATCCCTACTATTGGGGACAAAAAAAAGGAAAACAAAAGGAAGGAAAGGAAAAGGGTGGGGAGGGAAAAAAGAAAGAGAACAGAGGGAACTAGATTGACTTTAGGTTAAAGGAGAGGAGAACCAGGAGCCTCAAGACCCAACCTTACTATGAGGGACCCAACTGCCAAGGCCAAGGCAAGGGAACCCTGCTCTCCGTATCAGAGGGGAGCCACCCTGATCACCTGGGTTTTTTAGGAAATCAAGCACAAGGTCACATGGGGTCATGGACTGGGGCCCTCTCTGTCCAACCTTGTGCCTATACTTGGGCTCATGTGCTTGTCCAAGTATTTTCTTTAATATATATACATATATATATATATTTTTTTTTTTTTTTTTTGAGGCAGGGTCTCACTATGCAGTTCAGACTGGCCTTGAGCTCACTTTGTAGCCCAGGCTGGCCTTGAACTTGCAAAGATCCTCCTGCCTCAGCCTTCTGAGTGCTGGGATTACAGACGTGTGCCACCACGCCTGGCTTATTTTCTTTACTATAAAAAACAGCAAAAATAACAATTAGCGCAAAGCTTTGGATGAGCCATCTCAGGGTGGTCCATAGTGGCCGAGTCCACCTGGGGCCTGTGCTTCCCTGCACCACGCTGGACTTGCCTCGCCGCTCACCTCGGCCAGCAGCTGTTGAAGCACAGAGGCTTCTGCGTGCCCTGCTGTGCCCATGTCCTCCAGCAGGCGTCTGCTTCTGGGCTGCAGGGGCACAAGTGACGACCATCACTCCCAGGGCCCTGCACCATGGAGCCCCAGGCCGACACTGAAGGCCGACGATGCTTCCTCTCCAAGCTCAGTGCAGCGCTAAGCACACTGGGATGTGTGTGTGTGAATGCACGCATGTGCTGTGTATGAGTGTGAGTGTGTGTGTGTGTGTGCGCACATAGTCTTCAAGGGCCAGCAGCACAAACATCCATACTTCAGGTCAACCTTCATCTCCAAAACCCTGCCTTGGGCACAGAGCTGCGCTGACCCTGTCCTATGACCAAGGAGAAGGAGGCTGTGAGAAAAAGGTTCCATCAGGCACATTTCCAGGAAAAGACCTGGGTGAACCCTAAAGTGGGCAGCACGGTTCATGGTGCCCACGGCCTGCCTGTGTGCAACCATCGGGAGTGCTCCCTAAGAAGTGAGGGACGACAGTGCCAGCTTCTTGCCTAGAGACAAGAGCTCTCACTTATCACCAGAAGTCTTTCTCTTTTTTTTGCCTTTTTGAGACAGGGTCTCACTATGCAGTTCAGGCTGGCCTTCAGCTCACTTTGTAGCCCAGGCTGGTCTCGAACTCGCAACAATCCTCCTGCCTCAGCCTTCCAAGTGCTGGGATTATAGGCGCGTGCCCCCACGCCCAGCTCACTAGAAGTCTGAAAAATTTGCCTTTCCTATTTTTAAGAGGCTATGAATTCATTTTTATATATAGTTTTTCTGTGGGATTTCAAACGCTGGAAGACTGAAGGAAGCAGTCCACAAAGGCGGATGCATTGCTTGCTGTAGGATTCTGCTCCTGGGTCCCCAAGAAGACTGTGCAGTCACAGGCCCAGCGCTGCCCAGGTGTTGAATGAAGAGAAAACCCACTTCTCCTGCTCCCTGCAGGGTCCGCTCCGCAGGCCCCCATTCTCCACTTCCACTCTCGGAGCACAAGCTCCGTTTCTGATCTTTAAGCCCCAGGAAGTGAAGGGGGGCTCTTTACACCAAATCCTGCCCCTTATGGGAAATGTGTGGCACGTCAGTGTCACGAGGCTGAGACACCTGTCTTTGTTTCTTGTTTTCTTTTCAACACCTGAAACCATGCCGGAGTATGTGTGCTCAAAAGCAATCGCTGAACTATTGACTGAGCCCCAGCTCCTCATGCAAATGGGGAAGTAAAGGAACCGGAGGGGACTCAGGTCCCATCAGAGGAAGTGGGAGGAGTCTTGAAGCTGTAAACTGTTAAATTCAGGCAACTTTAAATTTCTCTTACTCATGACAATATTTCGAAGTGGGACAAAGTGAACAAGCACATGGAATCATATACACCATGGAATTTAGAACAATTCTGAAGTCTTCCTCCCAAAGGGATTGGCGTTGATTCCCCGCCGGACACAGGTGTGCTATCATTGGGGGTTAATTGTGAGTAGCTGAGGTCAGCGATGCTATCTGTCTCCTTTGCTCCCGTGTGAGAAGAGAGGCAGCTCTCTCACTCTACGGAAGCCCTGAAAGCACAGGGTTTGCCCAGCAAAGGCTTCTTCTGGGGCCCAAGGAGGGAGAAGCGCTGAGCCCAGACTTCAAAATCACCAGGTGACGTGAGCATGTCACACCACGGACACCTGGCCACCAGAGTTAGGACCCTGGGCACTGGCAACACAGGGGACTCAGATGTTTTCTTGGCCACCAGCCAAACACCTCCAGGAAAGCCTGTCCCGCAGAGGGACTGTCCACCCACAGGGGACTCCAGACCACACACCCGTGGCAGGCGCCGGTGCCAAGCTAAGCAGCCCTGCACCTGTCAAATGACCAGGCAACCAAAGGCCCAACCACATGCATGACAGAAAGAGGTAGGCACACAGGGCCGACCCCAGGACAAAGGTGAATAAGGAAGCTGATGGACAGTAACTCTAATTCGCGATCCGGAGATTTTTTTTTTCTTTTTTGTTGTTCTTTTTGAGACAGGGTTTCGCTGTGCAGTTCAAGCCAGCCGTGAGCTCACTTTGTAGCCCAGGCTGGTGTCGAACTCGCAACGATCCTCCTGCCTCAGCCTCCCGAGTGCTGGGATTACAGGCGTGTGCCACTATGCCTGGCCGCGATCAGGAGATATTTTAAAGGATTTTGCTTCTGTGAAGTAAAAATATGCCCTTATAAAAAACAGACAGTGAAAAAGAATCCCGTTTAGAAAATGTCGAAGTAGACACCAAATGACAGGCCGGAGGCACAAGCCACCAGGGTGCGGAGCAGCGTACCATTGGCGCCTCTTTCTTCCTGTCAAAGTTTCTGCCCTTGACGCTCTTCATCACCTTGGGCTGGTCAGTGGCGTCTGAGGGACTCTGGCTGTGGTCACTCACTGAAACGACAGAGACAGGAGCCACAGTGGTCCCTCCCCATTGCCCCACATAAGGAAGTACTGCCCCACCCCTGGAAGGTCGGAGGGACAAGTGGCCTTTACGGAGCTCGTACTGGACTCAGTTGGTAGAGGGACTCCAGAGCCACTCCTGTCCAGGAGCCAGTGTGTGAGGGGAAGGAGGAACACAGACGAGGCTGCAGCTTTCAGGCTATGAAGGGCACACGGCCCTCACCCCGTCATGGCTGTCCCTAGCCCCATGAAGGGTTAAAAATTTCCACCTCTGCCTTTAGAGAAGCCGGACAAAGGAAATGGCTGGGAGGTGACAGTGAGATTTGCAACAGGCCTGGAAAGTTGTATGTGTCTCTGCTATCCTTGGGCGTCTGTCTCTGGCCCGTGGAGGGAAGATCCTGGGAGGGTAGGACTCACCCAGGCTGGACCTGCTGCCCCAGAGGCCATCGCCACCCTCGGTGACACTGCTGAGAAAGCGGTCACTGACGTCCATCGCTTTGCTGAGGTGTAGGTTCTGGCCAGGGGAAATCCAAGACAGGCTGAAGAGGGCTGTCTCCCGGGAAGAGGAGCCCTCCAGCCAACCCGGCCCTCGCGGTCGGGGCCTCCGCCTGGCCACCTTCGCACCTCCTCCTTCCTCCCTGAGCCCTGTGGCCTTCTGGCTCCCCCTCAGCTCATCGACCACCCGCCTCCTCCTTGGCACTGTGATAGCCGTGCCCCTCTCTGCTACAGGAGCCCAACAGGCCTCTGCTGGCTGCCATCAGCAGTGCCCGAGGAGCTGCTGTCCCCTCCTGGGGTCCCATCAGTGTCCTGGACTCAGGCTGGCATGCAGGGGAGCTCTACGGCCTCAGTGACATTCCTGGTTCTGTCACCCACTAGCTTAGTGACCTAGGAAGACGCAGGTTATTTAACTTCTCCGCGCCTCAGTTTCCTCACCTATGAAGTGGCCTCGCCTACTGACACATTTCTAATGCTGTACTTAGACGCTGTTCCTCCTATCGATGACACAGAAGCGCTTCCACTACTCACTAGCTCAGTCCATTCTCACAGATGAGTAACCTCGGAGGCTCTGCTTACCTTGCTGGAGACTTGAATATAATTCAGCCTGATGCTAACTTCACAGCCATCTTCATGGACAGTGGCAGAGATAAGCTTGTAAAAGAATTTTGAAGAGAATTCACAATTGTGGGTATTTGGACTCACTGCCTTGCACAATGGCCCAGAGATGTTAAGTTCTAGTTTTAATCAAATTTCTTTCCTTAAATTGGTTGTAACACAGACTTTCTTTCCTTTTTTTTTAATGGCACTGGGAATTGAACCTAGGGCATACATCTCCAGCCCTTTTGATTTTTTCATCAAATATTTTAACACAACAGAAGATAAGATAAGGATTAAATCCCTGGTAGGATGAACACCAAACAATCCAGGCCAGCCTGAACTACATCCTGAGACCTGTCTCAAAAAAGATAAACAGAAAACAAAGATGGAGCCCAGCCATCCTGGCTACTTGGGAGGCTGGAGTAGGAGGATCTCAGGTTTGAGGCCAGCCTGTGCAACCCAGTGAGACCCTATTTCCAGTAAAACAAAAATTTTAGAAGAGGGCTGGAGGTGTAGCTCAGTGGTAGAGTACTTGCCTAGCATGCACAGGGTCCTGGGTTCAATCCCCAATATTGCACATGCACACCACTCACACACACATAGCGCTGGGTGTGGGGGCACACATCTGTAATCCCAGCACTCAGGAGGCTGAGGCAGAAAGGTTGTAAGTCTAAGATAAGGCTGGGCTACACAGTGAGACCCATCTCAAAAATAAACAAGTCAATAAATAATAGAAAAATGGCAGACCCAAACCTAGCCATATCTATATTTGATTAGAACTGGGTGAAATACTTCAGTCAAAGGATAGAGATTCTCAGACTGTATAAGAAAACAAGATACAAATGTATGCATTCTTCCAGAGACCTGCTTTAATCAAACCATGTGACTGGATATTATCACCTGGGAAAAGGTAACCTAGTGGTTGAGGGGGGCAGGCCTTGGCACTAAAGGACAGGTGTCACAGCTGAGCGGCTTCTTCTGGAAGGGGTGGAGTGGGTTTAGATTCAAACAGAGGGCAGAACATGTTTTCGAGAAGGGTCAAATCATAAACAGTTGAAGTCCTGTGGGCCATAAATTCTCTATCGCGAAACTTAATATTGTGTTGTAGCTCCAAGCAGCCACAGGTAACATATAAGTGGATGAGTGTGGGGGCTGGGGATTTAGCTCAGCGGCAAAAGCGCCTGCCTGGCAAGCGCAACGTCGTGAGTTCGGTTCCCGGTACCGGAGAAAAACCAAAAAAAAAAAAAAGATGTTTTAAGTGGATGAGTGTAACTCTGATCCAATAACATTTTATTTGTAAAACTGAGGAGCTGGCCAGGTTTGTCCCAGAGAGCAGCGCTCACAGCCTCCAAATGAGGCCAGAGAATTTATAAACTGCCAGAACTGTTTCCCAAAGGAAACTGAGCAATACTTGAAAATGAGGCAGTTTGGAGGTTGGCTTATTTGGTGGCAGAGGCGTGGACAGCCTGATTTGAAAAGGGTCCTTCAGGTCCCTTAGCCTAGGACAAAGAGAGGCATTCTTCTCTTGGGACAAAGAGAGGCAAGGTCCACGTGTTGCGCCCAGTGCTAAAGGTAGGGCCTGGGGCTGGGGATCTGATGGATCTACCTCAAATCTGAAACCCAGCAGGGCAAATGTGGCCAGGTCACCAAACTGCTCTGCACGTCAGTGATCCTGGGTGTCACACAGGCTTGTTCTGTACACATGCACTGCAGTGTGAAAGACTATGCAGAATGCTGTGCCATTAAACAGCCTCTACTGATTTATGTTTAATGGGCTCAGGCGGCCTCAGCTGGGAAGACTGACATGGACAGAGGTGGAGGGAAGCTTGGGGCAGGAACCATCTGAAGTCTAGCACTCAACTGCCTGGCCTCTGAGCTGGGGTGACTTAAGGACTGGGTGCAGCTCGGGCCATACGCTGGCCACCTGTCGCATGTGGCATGTCCTTCTCACAGCAGGGAGCCCAGGCTCCGAGGAGTGTTGGGGGAGGGGGTACTAAGCAAGAAGAGCCACATGGCCTTGTGTGATCAAACCTGGAAGCCCCAGGGCGTCTCTTCCACCATGTTCCGTTAGTTGAATGGTCACAAACATACTCAGATTCATGGGGACGCGTGCTTGAGGGCAGACTGTCAGAGAATCTGTGGCTATTTTTAATAAAAGCAGCCACCAAGGTAATACTCCTGCTTCGCAGGGCTGAGGACAAATGGACACAATGCTGCTACAGGTACACCGCCAGATGGAGACCCTTATGCTCAGATACTAGTGCTGCTGGCTATTAATAGCATGTTATTTAAATGCATGGTATGGCTGCACTAAATGTTCTGTGGTTTTTTTAGCTCCAGCGATTGGAATTTCTGCCACATTAGGTGGCACTGAAAGCATGGGACGTTCAGGATCTTCCGGGCCCCCGAAGCAGATCCTGAGACAGTCCTCACGTGTCTGTGATTATCAGGGCAGACAGTGAGAAAGCACCGAGGGCGAAGCAGGAAGGGCAAGAGGCCAAGCAAGCCCTGGAGGAAGCAGACCCCGAGCACCCTGGAGTACAGGGCCTCAAACCCACCTTCCCCATCCTGGGCTCCGAGATCAGCGCCCGGAACTCAGGGTTGTTCTGGGCGTAAGACCGGAGGTGAGCGGAGATGTGATCCAACTGTTTCCTCCAGTAGCCTAAAAAAGAAGAGAACCCGGACATATGGATGATTCTTCTGAGTCTGAGCAAAAGATGCGTTACTGTGGGACACACACTCTCGGGGAGGCTACTTTCCTTTGCCAAACCTCGCGATGCTTTTTCTTACTGAATCTCAACTGTGCACTGCAATTTGCTCCATCCTCCCCTTGCCAGCTGCTTATTATACAGGATGAGTCAAAGAATATTGGAGGACCGCAAAAGAACATACTCTGGTCGCCATGCACGGAACCCTTCTTTTTCTATTATTTTCTCTCACATGTAACTTACACAATTTTTAAATATACACTTTGGAGCTGGGCATGGTAGTGCACGCCTGTAATCACAGCACTTGGGAGGCTGAGGCAGGAGGATCACCATGAGTTCAAGGCCAGCCTGGGCTACATAGCAAGATCTGGCTTTATTTATTTATTTATTTATTTAATTTTTTTGGGGGGGGTAGTTTTTTTCCAGTACTAGAAATCAAACTCACGACCTTGTGCTTGCTAGGCAGGAGCTGTGCCACTGAGCTAAATCCCCAGCCTAATTCTGCTTTAAAAAAATAAAATTAAATTAAAAATATCCTGATTAACAGACAGAACATCTTCATCACTCCAAACAATTCCTTATGTTCTTTTCTGGTCAGCACTGTAAAGGCCTCACAAGGGACATGCATGGCCTCACAAAGAACATGAAAAATTACTGATTACTCCCCCTCTTGTCCTTTCCACCTGCGTCGTTCCACATTCTAGCCACTCCCTGAAGCTCCCTGAAATGTATCGTTCCTTTCTTGTAAGTTTCCTAAAGTTTCTATAGTTTCCCGGAAGACTGCTTCACAAAGACTTCGCTTGCCAAGCAGGATGTGGTTTTTTGGTTTAAAAGCTGCTCTCACCCCTGGTTTGCTGCTGATCTGATCCTACCCTGCGTGGAGGCTCTCAGTCAGTCCCTGGCCAGCTAATAAAGGCTCATTCTTAAATCTCAATTGGCGATCCGTGCGTTTCGGTGTTTATCGGTTGGCACCTTGGTCCGGTTCTGAGTCCAGAACAAGCACGGGGCTTGAAACATACCCGCCTTAGTCACCGTTAAAGTGTGGGAGGCGCCACACGAGGCCGGATGCTGGCTTCTCGCGCTGGTGGACACTGCCGCTGGGCCCATCTTGCTGCACACAGCGATGACACAGGTCAAGAGCCGCCGAGGGAAGGGCCGTCAGCAGGCCGCACAGCACTCACCAGGCTCTGTAATCCCTCCTGGGCTTTGCACAGTGCCAGCTTCTCAGAGCCGAAGCGGAAGCTTCATCCTCCCTCAGGCCTAACCCAGAATGGTCATGTGTCTCCTTTACTACTTCCAATGGCCAAAGCAGGCACGAGGCCAGTCCAGATTCCAAAGGAGGGGTTCCAACCATTCCTGTTAAGCCCAGGAGGAATGTGATCTACTGCAGCACTGATGGAATTACAGGTGTATATCACTGTGCTCACCAGGGATAATGAGATGCTACTTTCTACCCAGAGGAGGAGCTCACAATGAAAAAGTCAGATCATAACAAGTGTTGGCAAAGATGTGGGGGAGTCAGAGCCTTCATGCACTGTTGGTTAGGATGGAGAACCGTGCTGTCACCGGGAAACAGCCCAGAAGTTCCTCAAAAAGTCAAATGCAAGGTTACCACGCAACCTGGCAACTGCACATCTGTGTGTAACCCCAAGAGAGATGGACACAACCGCAGAAAAGCAGATGTTCACAGCTGCATGATTCCTAAGAGTCAAGATGTGAAAACAAGTCAGATGCCCACCAGCTCATGGGAAGAGAGCTGGGATGGCATGAATTCTTGTGATGGAGTGTTTGGTGGCCCAGAAAAGGAAATGAAGCATTGAGCCCGCCCAGCAAGAATGAACCAGAACATTGCACTGGATGGGGGAAGCCAGCCACGGAGGGCCACCTAGTCTCCGCTCACATCTGTGGGCAATGTTCAGAAGAGGCACAGCCTCCAGCCCTAAAGATGGAGTGGGATAGTGGTTCCAGGCCCTTGGGAGGTGGGATGTGGGCAGTGACCCCTTAAAGAGCACAGGGTGACTTCTGGGGGGATGCAGGTGTTCTGCAGCTGGCGGTGCGGCCACAGGACACTGTGGCGGGAATTCAGGTCACTGAACTGTATACCTTCCAGGGGTTGACACAGTGGTTTGCACAGTACATGAATTCAACCTCGACTGAAAGAAGAGGGCCGGGTGGTGACAGCCACAGCGTAGACTCAGCACATGTGTACTGCAGGGACAGGGTGGAAGGGCTCCAAGTGCGCCACTGATCGATGACAGACATAGGGCTACGAGTTAAAGCCTCAGAGGGCCGAGGGGTCAAGGAAGAGCCCGATGACTCACACAAACTTGAGGAGAGAAAAGGGGACTTGCTTCTCCAAATGCACTCAGACACCACTCACTGAGGGGAGGCACACGCGTCCTCCGCCGGGAACCCCTGACCACACTCACCTCTGCCCGGGCTGATGGCCGTGAGTAGAGGCCCACGGCCACGCCCCTCCAGCTCCGGCCGGTTTGCGGCCAGCTGCCTGCTAGACGGGTAGAAGAGGCCCACAGTCTGGGTGCCCGCGTGCTTCTTCACCCCGGTGTCAGCGCTGGGCAGAGGGACAGTTAGGGGCTGCCACGCAGATCGGGCCTAGAGCAAGCAGAAAATGATTTTCTAAAATCAGGATATAGCTGGGCGTGGTGGCGCACGCCTGTAATCCCAGCAGTAGGGAGGCTGAGGCAGGAAGATGGTTGCAAGTTCAAGACCAGCCTGTGCTACAAAGTGAGCTCAAGGCCAGCCTGAACTGCATAGCGAGACCCTGTCTCAAAAAGACCAAAATAAATAAATTAATTAATTAATTAAAATTAGGATACCATTTAGTTAACCAGTCACCTCCATTTTACTCATTGAAAGCGATTCTAATCAGAAAGAAAAGCAGCTCCTAAACTTTGCTCTTTGAAGAACAGCTCCACCTTATCTCCCTTGATTCTATTTCTCCTGGCTATCTTTGGCCTGACACATGAAGCTAGCCCCATCTCTTGGCCCATTTATCGTCTCAAATTCAGCAAAATAATGAGTGTTTCCTGTCCTGCCCAGAGCCTAGGAGATATCTATCCTCTCAGTTCCATAATCCAATGAACAGACTTCCCTCTGAGGCTACCCAACACCCTATACTCAACTCCGGGAGCCAACATTCTGTCTGCTATACTCCCCTGCATCGGGACCTGGGGTCTGAGAGGATCGCCATGTAAGGTTGTGTAGGCTGTGCGCTACGCTTCCTCTCAAGAGGCGCCGTTCACATGCTGAACAGAGTATACTTGCGTATTAGGACAATTTTTCTGGGAGAGGGAAGAAAATGTCCAACAGACTTCATATATTACTATCAATTTCCAATAGATGGCAGCCCAGTGTCTGGAGAGAAGCCCAGCGTTGCTTGATTGACACAAAGGTGTTGTACGGGTGGTGGCAGTCCCAGGAGTTTGCTAATCTGGGTCACAAAGGCCATCACCTAAAACTGTGTGCAAGGTGCCGAGTGGCTGAGTGTCCCCCCCCGCCCTGCCATCGCTGCCAGCCTTCAGATTCTTTTAATAAAGAGACAGACAGAAACCTGGAAAATCTTGGGGATGAGAAAAAGTTATACAGGCTGGCAGGAAACTGGATGTTAGAGCTCAAGTGCTTGTGGCAGTGACCATGCAACGTTTTCCCCAAGCTCTGCCCGGGTGAAATGCCCTGCATTATAAAAGAGCAGAGGAACGGTCACAGAACACTGTGGAACAACTCAAGGCGGGCCCATTCTACCCCGGGACTTTGGGATCCACTTTATGACACTATTTCCATTCTGTCTTTTGCCGGCAGATGCTACCAGACTTCAATCTACATCCGCCAAATGCATACTTACTTAGATCTTTGATTTTTGAAGAATCATTTATATGTTTAAAGCCTAAATTGAGTTTAATCACATACACACCTAGTTGAAAGTCCACTGGAAGGACTAAAGATTTTGGCTCTCCTGCCCTGGGCTGAGTCACGGTGCTGCACACACGTTCAGAGCGACATCCTCCCCTGGCACCATTTCTGACCACAGTGAGGGCCTCACCTGAGATGCAGGGCGCAGCTCCCCCACGAGGACAGCCGGGCTGCCCTCCAGGCTCCATCTTGCCATGGAATTCACACAAACACCACAGGTAGTGCAGAACCGGGCGGACGGGTGATTGCTGGCCCCACATTTAGGGCAGACAGAGTGGCTGGCAGACAGGCCAAGCTAGAGGATAGAGGAGATTTTTACATTAGAGCTATAATTTGCCCATAAAAAGTCTACTCATACCATACAATCTGTAGCCATCAAAATAACATATGCCCAAGCCCTCTGACCCAGCAGTGCCACCTTCCAGAATTCATCCCACACGTGGACAAGTACTCAACAAAACATATTCTGGGGCATCTCTTGCAGCACTGGAGCTTTAGAGACAATAACTGAAAATAACCTACGTGTCCCGCAATAGGGGATGGGTGGCCTTAAGGTATCATGGTGTGTACACGAGGTGTGGGATATTAGGAAGCTGTAGGAAAGGATGGAGAGGCCACTAACAAAGACAAGTTGCTGCATGGCAAGGATTGGATCCTTGTTTATGGTCAACACCAGCTCATTCAGAAATGCACCAGTAGCTCTAGTGCACACGAACACACTTGGAAGCTGAGGGGTAGCCACGCCTTCCGGGGGGGCGGAACCGTGGGGCTAGATGAGAAGGGGGGTGACTCTCCTTCTAAACCTTTGTAAGAGACTCAGACATAGATACACATAAATAACTGGCTGTGTTTGTTTAAAAGGTGGCAAACATGATTCATGAAGAAACGCCAGTGGTCAATAAATAAGCACAAAAATTTAACCTCAAAGAAATGCACGTGGAATTGGCAGTGAGAGACAGTGCGTAATGTAAGAGTCTGTCATGTCTGTCCCCAAGCATTTTAGTGGCCACAGAAGAGCCTGGCCTCCTGCAGGCTGGTGGCGCTGCTACGCTACCCACCAGGGTTCCACACCAGTCGCAGAAGGTCGCCTCCCCGAGGTTGCAGCGGCGGCCACATCTGCAGCAGGAAGTGGTCTCTCCTTTCTGGGTCAGCAGAGGGGGTGCTTTCTCTCCACCGTGCATGGGCTGGTGAACAAAACGGCACTGATAGGCGGGCTCAATCCCATATCCTCCAGCACCCACCCAACCCCACAAATGAATAAACGGTGCCAGCCCCCAAACAATCAAGCCCTGGTATACAGAGTCCTTTTTTGCCCAAGAATAAATCTATGGTGCTCTTCACCGTTTCATGAATTAATTCACACGCTCCTTCATGGAGATCACAGGAAGTCACGAAACAGTGTCTTTACAGAGGGTGATCCGAGACGGGCGTGCTCACTGGGGTCGGCCCTAACTCAGTATGACTGGGGTCCTCACAGAGAAGGGAAATCAGAGCACATGGCAGGATACACTCGGAGGGAAGGCGATGTGGAGTCCCACATGTGACAGCAAAGGTAGGGACGGAAGTGATGCGCCTAGAAGCTACAGGAAGCATGAAGCCACCAGATGCGAGGACAGTGCCCTGGGACAGCTCCCTCAGAGCAGGGAGCCCTGCAACACCTCCATTTCAGCCTCTGGGACTGCGGGACAGCAAGGTCCTGCCGTCTGTAGCCACTTAGTTGGTGGCAGCTTGTTTTAGGAGTCCTGAGAAACAAATCTCCTGTTTGATGCTAACCAGGTTCACCACACTAATCCTCACACGGTGTGCAGTTTCCTGAGGAATCTTTCAGATAGGAACAAACTCACAGTCAAGAGTACACATGAGGCCCCCTCAAAGCAGGGCTATTTCTTCTAAGCCAGCCAGTAAAGGTGACTTCTTGACACTTAGGATGGGGCAAGAGTTACAGTACCTGGAAGTAATTTTCAATCTCCTGAGAAACATTTTATAAACACGAAATAAATCACTGGAACTGAACCCATTCCCAGTATATACAGTGCCTATTCTGTTCTTTCATTTCAACCAAGTGGGCTGGCAGGAAACCTAAGGAACAGGTGACTGTGCTGCTCTTAACTTCAAAGAGCAGGAGCGGAGGGACACACAGCGTCTGGACGCAACGCATATGTGGTCCACATCCCTCAGGCCACCCCAGACCGCCAGGCAGAGTTCTTAACTCTGCTGAAGGTGGGTCTGCACTGATGGAAGTACAAAGCCCGCTGCGCACACAGAATGCTGCCCTCTTGTGGTCACCGTGAGAAGTTTCTTTTCCCTTTGGCCCTCCCCACACCGAAGGTCATATTTCTCCACTGACACTGAATATCAATAGCCACGAAATCACATGTGGCACACCCAGCCCACCTACCTCTTGGGGTGAAGGCAGGTCCCCCTCGCAGGTGACGCAGTAGCTCAGGTGAGCAGGGTTCCCCGTGCCACAGGAGCGGCAGATCACCTTTGCCTTACAGCAGAGAATGAGAAAGACAGCTGAGCCAATTGGTGCAGAGGTGCCCTTCCCCACATGTTTTCGGCCACGGTCAGCTCTGGCCCCGCCATGACACCTGCACCCTGCGCAGTGGGTTGATTTTGAGATTACTGCAGCATGAATAGTGCTGGGAAAATGAGCACGGCTTGGAATGAAGTAAAATCCCAGAAAAACTTAAAACAGCGCTCTTTTGGTCTTGAGAGAGTGCTCTGAGAGTTCTGCACAGATCATGTGGAGGTGCCCACCCCAGTCAGTGGTAACGAGGAGCTCCAGGCCCGCAAGAGCGTATCTGGGTATGCGCCACAATCTGGCCGCGGACTGGGGTTTCTGTGAAATGCACATTTAGGTTGGTTCTGCAGTTTCTCACATAGAAATGGAAGAAGCAGAAAGACATCAGAAAGGGACTGGTAAGGGTAACTTTCTGGGTCAGGAGCCTGGTGTTAAGCTGTAACAGAGAGGGGTGAGGAGCGAGATTAAAATAGCCCAGTCTAACTGGAGGTCAGCTACGAGGAGTTCTCTAACACTCATTGTCACCGCGCTATTCTGTACTCGAAGGACACCATCTGTTCAATTTTTTGTGCTAACAATGCCCACATTTTCTACTCCAGGACCGTGGTCCCTAGGTGTCCCGAAGCTATCAGAGCGTCCTGCAGCCAGTACAGGTAACGAAAAGCAAGCCCGGCACTGGGGCTTCAACTCCAGCCCCATTAGGTAGTTCCTGGACGTCCCGGGGTTTCCAGGTCTGGCTAACCCTGTTTCCTAGGAGATGCCACAGCCTTCCTAGGACTCTGCAGCTGCTCAGGAAAGCAGTTCTGAACACAGACGAACCCTAAAGGACGGAGGCCCACTCACTGCTCGACAATGTGGTGGAGAACCACAGCCTGGCTCCCCCGGGCCCTGCCTGGGTCTCTGACTCTTCAGTTGCTTAAATTGGACACAGCATAAGCTGCGAGTGCCGGGCTCTTCTGTGAGATTCAGGGGGCAGCTGCCTGGCGATGTTGCCTGGGACAGGATCTGGTCAAACTCAATGAGAAACGAGCCAGCTTTCCTGCCCCGTGTTAAAAGAAAGCTGATCAAACAAAAAGAATCTCATTGTCGCCGCAGGAAGTCCCTCCTCTCGGGAGAGGAGGTGAAGCTACCAAAGCTGCCTGCTTGTCAAGTCCAACACTGTCCCTCAAGGCCGCACCCCTCGGTACCAACCTCGCACATCAGAGTTCTGCCCAGGGCAAACTCTGCCTGGCCCCAGCCCTGCCTCGCAAAACCATCTGGCTTTTATTTTAAGTAGTGAACTTTATTTTTTAGAAAGTGCTAGGCTCATAGTGGTCCAAGCAGAAATTATAGAAGGTTCCTATAAACCTTTGTCCCCACACACGCCCAGCTTCCCTCCCCATGGACATGAGCACCACAGTGTGGCTTTGTGCCCACTGACAACCTGCAGGACATCACGTCACTCGGCATCCCTGGTTCACACTGGGGGCTGCTCGTGCGAAAGCCTCTTTAAATCATCTAACTCCACAGTGAATCCCTATTCTCTTCCCTTTGATCTCTCTTCTAATCTACTACAAAGACTCTCTCCAAGTTGTGGTCCACTTCACTGCATCAGGGCTACTAAATAGTTTTCTTAGTCAAGAGACTTTTCTGCGGTGGCTTTTGACACCACGCCATGATCTACTTCCTCCCAGAGCAGTGACAGGACCTGCACCTAGAAATCACTGCTACACAGCCTACTGCACTCAAGACTCACAGACGTTCATGGGGAGGATGAGGGGTCAGGGACTGTTGGAGACCACTACGAAGTGGCTCTGAGCAGGATTTAATGTTAACCAACTGGCTTTCCATGTTGACTTGTGAGTTGTCCAAAGCTTAGGCACCTTGTCTAGAGATGGGCAACTGATTCAGGGTAAGTGAACCTCTATGAGTCACTGGTCACCGCCGAGGCCTGTATTGACCTGTGAAGCTGTGACACCTCAAAGACAAGATAAGACCACAGCTGATGACATCTGGCTCCAACACCAATGAACTTAAAGGAGACTGCAGCTGCAAGCATCTTGCTCCTGCCCCGAAGGCCTTCCTGGAGTTAAGGTAGTTCTCCTAAATTAATATACGTATTACTTGGAGAATTCCATAATGGGTTTCCAAAGTCCTGCTCAGATTCCTGAGTCTTCTTGAGTATCCCGCTCCTTTGTTTGTAAACCAAATAAACATGGGCTGTCCACAGAAGTCTTTGTTTAAACCCAGAGACTATCTAAGAGAGTTAGACCCTCCTAGAGTCCTGAAATCACTGCTCTAAGAATGCTATAAGAGAGTTAGACCCTCCTGGAGTCCTGAAATCATTTCAATTGTCTCATTTATGTAAGCCTTCACCTCTGTCCACTGGCTTGGGAGATTGTGGGCCTGATTAGCCCACAGTAACTAAGGGTTATTTAACCCGATAGGGGACCCCATCTGATGGCCTAGTGAAGGTGCTGAAAAGCAATGATGAGGACTTTTAGGGAGGCAGTGCCCTCATTTGCCATCTCCTCCACAGCCTTTGCAACAGGCAGTATTACCGAGCTGGATGGCTCTAAGCAGTCTGTGGTATCAGACCCAACTTAGTTGGTGGGGTACAACTTTTCCTTATGAAAGATTTGGAAGGCGAAATGTCAAAATCTCAAATACCAAGCTTTAAGTGACACAGTAAAATGAGGAAGGATGTTGGAAACCAACTAGTAGGGCCACTCAGACTTCATCTGCCTAGAACATTCCTTCTTCCCTGCGGACTCCCACAAACACATATGCCTGAGCCTCTCCTCCCTGCCCTGTAAGACCAGGGCTCCGCCTGGTATCCATCAACATGGAAGTCAAGGGTTTATCCTCCATGGAGGATTTACAACAAATTAAGGGGAAAACTACTCACACCTTTGTATTTCTCTGCCTGCCTACAATAGGGGAGGAAGTATAGATTTCCAATACTGAAGACAGCCTGATACCCATTGAATTTAGCTCACAGCTAACACATCTATTTTTCCTGTTTTGAATATCTCAACATGTTTGGAAAGATACTCTGTCTGAACGTTCTGCATAAAATGTATTAACAAGAGTTGGGTCTGTTGAGATTGGCAGAAAACCCAAAATGTCAGTGGCTTAAACCAGAGAGAAATTGATCTCTCTCTTCCTCCTTGTGAGAAGTCTGGAGACAGGTTTCCAGGGGATGTTAGGTGGCTTCCCCGGGGTCACTTTTAAAGTTTCTTAAGCCTGAAACAGGCATCTAACCAAAGGCTTAGTCAATTTTCACCCACCTGACTTTGACCCTACCAGTTCTGCAAAAACTCATTTCTGAAGGTTTACATGGCCTGGGACATGCGCGAACTTTTCACAGTGCAGGGACTTCGGAGTTGGAAGGGAAAATGGGCTTGCTGTTTTTATCAATACATTTTGCCTATCCAGGATCCATAAGGTCTTTTTAGGAGTGTTTGTTGCGGTTTAGATAGTAACTGTCCCCTGAAGAGTCATAAACTGACGGCTTGATCCCCAATGCAGCAACATTTAGAGGCAGGGCCTACAGAGGTTACATCACGAGGGCTCTAACTGCATGAATGGATTAATCCACTGAGCTCATAGCTGAAGGGGCTGCTGGCAGGAGGGGCCAGGTTGGAGGAAGTGGTCACCGGGGCTGCCTTTGAAAGGTGCATCTTTCCCCAGCCCCTTGTCTGACTCTGTCTCTCTCTCCCCACTCTCTCTCTCTACTTCCTGGCTGTCATGGGGTGAGCCACTTTCCTCCACCATGCACATCCACCATGATGTTCTGCCTCTTCACAGGCCTAGAGCAAGCATCTGGCTGACCATGGACTAAAACTCTGAAACCATGAGTCAAATTAAACTTCTCCTTTCAGTTGTTCTTCTCAGGAATTTTGTCTCATCATCAGAGCTGATTAACACAGCGTTACACCTCTAGTTGTCTGTTGATTCTATGCATTTCCCTTATTACTAAAAACCCTTGCATTTTTACTCCTTAATTAAATCTATTTTATCTTCTAGTAACTTTTACTTGGGGTGAGGGAAGGTGGGTGGGACTGTAACTGAAACACTGAGAAAAGATACAGTTCTATGTTCAGTGATCCTGTAACAAAGGTTTCACTGATGGATTTTGTTCACAGATGTTCGCTTATCAATTGTTAGCCCATTTCACCCGTGCAAGAAAGACATAATTGTTCCGACAGGACTTTCAATTACTTCATTCCCATTTGGAGCAGAATCACTTCCGTTACCTTCAAATGGAGGCTGGCCTGGGGCCGCAGCTGCGGAGCAAGCGGGGCTTCGCACACCACACAGATGGGGGCGTTCATGGGCACCACATTCCCACATTCTGCGCACGAGCCCATCTATGCAGAGAAAAGGGCGGGTTTGTCTCAGGATGCAAAAATGGAAGCCACAAATAGGTCTTAGAATGTCAGGTTTCATTTTCTTTTCTTTTCTTTTTTTTTTTTTGTCTTTTTGAGACAGGGTCTGACTATGCAGTTCAGTCTAGTCCTGAACTCTCTTTGTAGCCCAGGCTGGCCTTGAACTTGCAGTTATCCTCCTGCCTCAGCCTCCTGAGTGCTGGGATCACAGGTGTGCACCACCACACCAGTTTAGGGTTTCATTTTCTTATGTAAAACAAATTTAAAATAATAACCTTTATTTTAGTAAAGTAAAGTATATAGTAAAAACATGTTTTTATAGTAAAAACGTGTTTCTTGAAGCGATGTACTAAAAAGGGTAGTAGCTCTGGGGCAGGACAGTCCCTGAAAAGTACCGTCCTGTGGCTGCTGCGGATCGGTGCACTCGACCTGGAGCCCCTGGAGGATTACACCTCAGTGGCAGCCAGCAGCGAGGACCAGGCTTCCGCTGCCTGAGATTACAGTCTGGGCGCAGTGACCAGTGGCCCTGCAAGTGCCCAAGGATCTAACAGGGCATCCAGGGAGGTGATCAACTAGGATGTGCCTTCGGGGCCTTGGGACAGCATAAATCGGTGTGGTCCCAGCCACCCGCAGAGCCCCGGCTGACAGGGGCACGGTCTGAAATGTGACGTCCTACCAGGCTCACACAGCCCTGTCAGCAGCCAGTAGGAGCCTAAGGCGTGCGAGCACAATTTCTTGCCCGACTTCAGGTGGACGCTAAGATACACAGGCCCAGGGGTACCTCCAGGCTTAGGTATAAACACTAGGAAAATATCTGAATTTTCAGCTGAGACAGATAGCAAATATTTACTCCAAGTAAACAACAAATGAACACAATCGAGGGAAGAGAGTCAAAATCTGGAGTTGGAACAATAGATTAGCTCAGATGCCCAGCAGTGCAGAAAAATACTTAAGAGACATGCAGGGGAAAAAAAAAAAAAAAAGGAAACCAAAAATCAAAAACCACAAAACAAAACAAGAAAGTGCGGCCCACACTAAGGATAAAAACAGTCGAAAGAAATGGTCTGAGTAACATCAGATATTAAATTGAGCGCACAAAAATTCCAAAGCAGCTATTATAAAAAACAGTCAAGGGGCCGGGGATATAGCTTAGTGGTACAAGTGCCTGCTTGGCAAGCACAAGGTCCTGAGTTTGATTTCTGGTACCAAAAAATAAATAAATGAATAAATAAATAAATAGTCAAAGAGCTAAAGGAAATTATGTTTTAAAAATTAAAGAAAGTATGACAAGATTTGATACATGTGGAATCTCAATAAAAAGATAAAAATGATTTTAAAAAGAACCATGGCTGAGGCTGTACCTCAGTGGTAAAGCACTTGCCTGCCCAGCATGAGGCTCTGGGTTCAATCCCCGGTACAGCGGTGGTGGTGCATGCCTGTAATCCCAGAACTCTGGGAGGTTGAGTCAGGAGGATTGCAAGTTCAAGCCCAGCCTGGATAATTTAGCAATTTGGCAAAACTCACCTCAAAAAAAAAAAAAAGAAAAGAAAAAAAGAAAGAAAAAGAAAAACCAAATAAAACTAAATTGAAACATCGAAACTTGGTATTGAAAAAGTAAAATGACTGGAAAGTAAAATGTCCGTAGAGGATCTCAAGAACAGATCAGAGATCACAGAGGAAAGAATCAGTGAACTTGAACAGAGTTCAACAGAAATTATTCAATCTGATAACAGAAAGAAAAAAAGATTGAAGAAATTGAACAGACAACAAGTAGGATGTGGTTAACATCAAGCATAAGATTTTTTTTTTGAGACAATGTCTCACGATGTAGCCCAGGCTGGCCTCAAATTCATGGTGATCCTCCTGCCTCAGCCTCCCGAGTGGTGGGATTACAGGACTTCAACACCACAACCAGTTGTTGAATGTTAAAGATTCCTGTAATGAGAAAATCTTGAAAGTAGCAAGAGAAAAAATGCTAATCATGTACGTCAAGAACAATATATAGCCGGGCTTGGTGGTGTATGCCTATAATCCCAGCACTCAGGAGGCTAAGGCAGGAGGACAGCCATGAGTTTGAGGCCAGCTGGGCTACATAGTGAGTTCAAGATCAGCCTAAACTACATAGTGAGACCCTGTCTAAAAATAATAAAAGGGAAAACAATACACACAATGTAGTACGTTGTCACAAAGATAAACTTGAGTCATCTGTAGGAAAAGGGTGCATCTTGAGACCATAATGTTAAGGGAAATAAATCAGACACACAAGTTTAAATATTGCATGGTTTCTCTTATATGAGAAACCCAAAGTATAAAGAGCAAAATAAAAGATAGATAATAGGAAACAGGGAGAGGGATCTTTCTCCAATGGGAAGGGGATCAAGAGATGGAGGGAGGGGTGGGGGAGAGGGAAAGGAGATGAAAAAAGGAATTAAAATATACACATTATGCACTGCAAATTTGTACTACTACTACTAAAAAAAAAAAAAAAAAAAAAAAAACAGAAGCCAGAAGGCAGTAGAATAGCTTACTCCAAGAGCTGGTAGAAAAGTAACTTCCAAACAAGAATGCCATACTCAGCAGGGCATGGTGGTACACATCTATAATCCTGAGGCAGGAGAATTGCTGAGAGTTTGAGGCCAGCCTGGGTTACATAATGCACTCAAGGCCAGCCTGAACTACACAGCGAGACCCTATCTCAAAAACAAATAAAACCCAAAAAACAAAGAAATACAATAGAAAGAATTCTATGTCCAGCCACCTACCCTTCAAAAATGAAGGGGAAATAAATAATCTCAGATAAACAAAGGCAGAGAAATGGCAAGCTGGTATGTCTCATGAGAAATAAGTGTCAACAGATGATCACGGAGTTCACAGGAAGAAATAAATACACTAAACAAACATAAACATTTTTGTTTTTCACACATTATGAGATTGTATAACTAGTTAACTATTGTATAACTATTTTTTCAGTTTATAACATATATTTTATGTATTGCATTATATGACATACATTTATTTACACTTATATTACATCTTTCCTTTTTTGTCATTTTGAGACAGGGTCTTGCTATGCAGTTCAGGCTGGCCTTGAGCTCACTTTGTAGCCCAGGCTGGCCTCAAACTCACAAAGATCCTACCTGTCTCAGCCTCCAGAGTGCTGGGATTACAGGTGTGCACCACCACACCCAGCCCTTATATTACATCTATATTGTGTAAAAGATAAGAAAAGGGAGAGGATGGGGAGGTATACTGGAGCAAAATTTTTTTATTTTACTGGAGTTAAGTTAAACTATTCTAAACCTTCACAAAGCAAAGTTCACATTGTAATGCATAGAACACAAGGTAACTTTTAAAACCGTATTAAAGAAATCAACAGAGAAATTAAAATGTCACCCTGAAAATTACTTACCACAAAGGAAAGCAGTGAAAGGGGAAACAGAGAAACCAAAAATTAAAAGAAAAGAAGACATGAAATGAATAGAACACAGACAGCAAACTGGCCTCTGTGAATCCAAGCACAGGTCGGCGGCCACACTCGGAGGGAAGCAAAGACTGTCGGCCCAGACCGGAAAGCAAGACCCAGCTACCTATCTTGGACTCAGACACACAATGAGAAGGGAAGAAAAATACAGCCAAAGGCAGTCCGTGCCAGCATCAACTACAACAACGCTGGATGACTTCGAGACTATCGGGGCGTATCGAGCTGTAGGACAGGAAGTATTTCAAAGACGGAGCTGTTATGATGCCAGAAAGGGTGAAGAAATCATGCAGGTAGCGTAGTTACATGTGTATATGAGCTACTTTAGGTAATTCAGGCTGCTAAAACAAAATGGTAAAACTGGGTGGCTTACAGATAAAAAGAGATCTATTTCTTGGGTTTTGAAGGCTGGGAAGTTGGAGATCAGGGAGCCAGGAAATTTGGTGTCAGGTGAGTGACACTGTCTGTCTTCTATACGCTGTGTGCTCATGGGATGGAAGGAAAGCCAGCCTCCCTTGGGCCCCAGCCCTCTACACTGGGGATGGAGCCTAGGGCCTTCACATGGAGCCTCATCCCCAGCCTTTTGTTTTCCCTGTGGGTTTTCTGAGATAGGGTCTCATTATGTAGTTCAAGCCGGCCTTGAACTCATTATGTAGTTCAGGTTCATCTCAAGCTTGCAGAGATCCTCCTGCCTCAGCCTCCTGTCTCAGCCTATCAAATGCTGGGATTACAGGTGCCATCACACCTGGACTTCTTCTTTTTTTTTTTTGATAACTCTAAAAATAGTTTTAAAGAATCTCACAAAATTATTATATTGCCTGGCTGGGCTTGAACCTGGGATCTTCTTGCCTCAGCCTCCCAGCATGCTGAGATGACAGGCGCATGGCACTATACCAGGCTTCTCTGGGACTGACTACAAAATTATTGGTAGAGTAGCATCAGACATTGCTACACTTAATTGGCCAAAGCCTTTAAATTTAAATATACAGGGGGCTGGGGGTTTAGTTCAGTGGCACAGTGCCTGCCTGGCAAGCACAAGGTCATGAGTTCAATTCCTGGTACCAGAAACCTCCCCCCCAAAAAATTTAAATATACTAACCAACCTATAACTTTTTTGAACAGAATTATGCATCTTATGGATATACAACTATGAAGTGATTAATATTTTTCTCTATTCCTAGAACCTATTTCCTTACTGTACCCAGGTTATGAGCGAAAGTATCAAATTGGGGGAAACATTTACTTATCCCTGAACGCCTTACTAAGACAATGACATTTCATTGTCTTCCTGAGTCTGAATCTCTGTAATTCCACACAAAATAAATGGCATTGTAAATAGGTCCCCCCTCACCTTTTATCCCCCCAGTATTGGTGATTGAACCCAGGGCTTTTGAACTAACCTGCAGACTCTAGCTCTTATTTAAATTTTTTTTTTTGTCTTTTTTTTGAGACAGGTCTCACTATGCAGTTCAGGCTGGACTTGAGCTCACTTTGTAGCCCAGGCTGGCCTCAAACTTGCAGCGATTCTCCTGCCTCAGCCTCCTGAGTACTGGGATTACAGGCATGTGCAACCATGCCCAGCACCTTTTTTTTTTTCTTTTCTTTTTTGAGACAGGGTCTTCCTAAGTTGTTCAGGCTGGGCTCAAACTTGCAATCCTCCTGTCTCAGCCTCCCAGAATGCTGACATTACAGGTGTGCACCACTGTGTCCAGCTAGTTTTTCCATCTACAGGAGGAATCTGGATGGTAAGAGATTAACCTGCTTGTAATTCTTTCAACAAGCACTTCTGTTTGTGGTTCATGTGCACCTAGCATCATGTCACTGCCTCAGGTAAAGATCATGTAAGAATTCCCGGGCTCACCTGTGCTCCTTCTGGGGGTGGAAGACGACAGCCGAATATGGGCGGGACCGGAGCGCCACACTCGGGACAGAAGCGCGCGAAGGGGTCCGAGGGCCGGGGGCCCAGGCAGTGGGCGCACCTGCAACGGAACGTGCAAAGACTGGGAAATCAACTGCGGAGTGTTCAAACGGGTTAAAACACAAGGAAACATGAGCAGCCACTCAGCGCTGCCTGGGGGAAGGGACCATGGGTGATGAGTGTGCTCACAGCCAGGGCACTGCGCGGGGCTCACGGCCATGTGCCCTTTACTGTAATACATTTTATGTAAACATGCGCTGTATTTTTAAAATCACATTTTATATGTCTTCTGACCAGATGGAGTTGAATTTGATTTTTTGTTGTTGTTTGTTTGTTTGCTTTTTTCCAGTACCGGGAATCGAACTCACGACCTCGCGCTTGCGAGGCAGGCGCTGTGCCGCTGAGCTAAATCCCCAGCCCCTGGAATTAAATTTGAAATGTCCAAAGTGTATAAGAAAAATCTCTCCATATCTGGAAATTTAACAAAATGTAATCCACAAGTCAAAAATAAATAACAAGGGTAATCAGAAATGCTTTCAACTGAATGAACATGAAAACACGATATATCATAATCTAGCCACTGCAGGTGAAGCAATACTCAAAGGCAAATGTGTATCTCTAAATACCTATGCAGTATTGGAAAATAAGAAAGACTCCAACTCAATGACTTCATCTCCAAATTTAAAAGCTAAAAAAAGCCTCAGTTGGCATTTGTAAACGTTGAAAAGCTGATTTTAGAATTATTTGAAAATGAGAAATAAGGTGTGGTGGCACATGCTTGTAATCCCAGCACTCAGGAGGCTGAGGCAGGAGGATCGTTAGAGTTTGAGGCCAGCCTGGGCTACAAAGTGAGCTCAAGGCCAGCCCAAACTGCATAGCAAGACCCTGTCTCAAAAAGACAAAAAAAAATTTAAAAAAATTTTTAAAAAGTTACAGTAATGAAAACAATATAGTAGTGAACAAACACAAAGAAACACCAATGGAACAGAAGCCAGGATCTGGAATTAGACTCATATACATTTTGTCAGTGATTCTCAACTATTCCAAAACTAATCAACAGAGAAAAATAGTCTTTTAAAGGAAATGTACTAGAACAATTTAGTATTCATATATATAAATATGACGCTCATCCATATGTGAAAATAAACTAAAAGTGGACCAGAGACCTAAATATGAGATAAAACTACAAAACTTAGCCAGATGTGATGGTGCACACCCAGAATCCCAGCACTGAGGCAGAAGACTGAGGCAGGAGGATCCCTGTGAGTTTGAGGCCAGCCAGGGATACACAGTGAGTTCAAGGCCAGGCTGGAATACATATCGAGACCTTGTCTCAAAAAGAAAAACAAAAACTCTACAAAACTTCTAGGAAAGGACAAAGGAGAAAACCTTAGTTCATTTGAAAAACATTTGGGGTTTGGGAAAGAATTCTTCAGTACAAGAAACTAAGAATGAAGCATGAAAAAACACAAATTAGCTGGGGATATAGCTCAGTGGCATACTGCCTGCCCAGCAAGCATGAGGTTGTAAGTTTGATTCCTGATACCAAAAAAAAATTTAAAAAACCACAAATTAGGTTTCATTAAAATGAATAGCCGAAGACTGGGGAGAAATAGTTGTGAAACATATAACCGATCAAGGAGAACTTGTACAACTCTATAATAAAAAGACACAGGGACCTTTCGGTTCATGAGCATGATGATTGGTGTCCATGCTATATGCATGAGATGTGCCACCCTCAAACCTTATTGTGACCTTGGCACATTATCCATCTGACATGGGAAAAAAAAGACATAGGACCCAAGTTACTAAAGGGCAAGATTTGGGCTGGGGATATAGCTCAGTGGCACAGCGTCTGCCTGGAAAGTGCAAGGTTGTGAGTTCAGTTCCCGGTAGGAAAAAAAAAGTCGGGGAGCAAGATTTACCAAAGCAGACACATAGATAGCAAATAGGCACACAAAAAGATAGTCAGCATCCCTGGATAATGGGGATATATAAATAAAAAACCACAGCAAGAGACCACTGCAATCTCACAAGAATGATCAAAAATTTTAAAAACTGTTGGTGAGGATGTAGGGAGTCAGGAATTCTCAAACACTGCTGACGCAAATGTAAAAACAGCACTGCTACTTTGGAAAATGAATGATCAGCTTCTTAACAAGTTAAATATATAGCCGCTGTGTGACCCTGCCATCTTCCAAGGGACTGACTGTCCTGAGGGAAGAGAAGGCGTGGGTGCCACAGTGACTCGAGCCTGGACACAACACACAAGCTTCTGAAAGTGAGTGGCTACACAAAGTGCAGTGAGCAGGCTGGGTGTGGTGCCTGAAATCCCAGCACCTGGGAGGCTGAGGCAGGACAATCCTTATGAGTTCGAGACCAGCCTGGGCTACAAAGTGAACTCAAGGCCAGTCTGAACTGCTTAGCGAGACCCTGTCTCAAAAAAGACAAAAACAAACAAACGAATAAACAAAAACAAAGTGCAGTGTGTATAGCAGAAGCCCAGTGAGACCCAGCACAACCAGGCAGTGAGGGCAGAGACACTGGATAACAAGCAGCAACACGAACGGCTTGCACAGACTGAATTGCTCCACTTACATACCGAATAAGGCGCCCCCTTCCACAGCACATATGCTAAAAACAGAATCAAACACAGACAACAACAAAGCAACAAGAGCAGGTCAGCAGCTCCCTGGGCCTAGGGAAGGGTGAGAGGTACAGGATAGAAGCTTCCAGAAGGGATGAATTTATTTGTGGTGATAGTTTTATATATGCATCCATCAAACTGGTTTTTTTTTTTTGGTCTGTTTGTTTTGAGATAGGGTCTCACTGTGTAGCCCAGGTTGGCCTTGAGTTCACTATGAGCCCAGGCTGGCTTCAACCTTCCTGCCTCAGCCTCCTGAGTGCTGGGATTACAGGCACGCGCCACCATGCCCAGCTGTTACGTACCATTTTTAGATCCTCTTTGACCGCAGTGTCTCTCTATTTGGTTTAGGCAGAGTGTGATACGTACTTGAGAAAGTCTGTCTGCCTCTGGATTCTCATGATCTCCGTGCTTGTCAAACTCTTCTGGCCCGGTATGTGTGCAAAACCAGGGGACTGAAATTCAGAATACACATTGATACAGGTACAGTTAAAATCTCAGTGTAAGTCGGCAAAGAGTGTGGGAGAGCAAAACCCCACTAAAAATTCATTTTAATGTTTGTTGCCTAATTCCCAGCATTTATCTTTTTAAAACCACAATGGGGAAGAACCTAAATAGGAGTCCTGTATCCAACATAAATTCTGTTCATAATCAGGTAGGTATATTTCATTAAAAAGGAAGGTTTACCGAAAAAGGATATCTGAATTTACCATCAGACAGATCAGATCACATTAGATTTTAGAAGTGAAGAACCTAAGTTAGCATCCATTTTTCAGGACTGTATTTCTGGGAATTGCCAAAGGGCTCACCCAGAAGAACAAATACAATGGTCTGCTGCTGTCCAGAAACACTTCATTCATATGAATCCTTTTTTTTTTTTTTTTTTTTGGTCTTTTTGAGACAGGGTCTCGCTATGCAGTTCAGACTAGCCTTGAGCTCATTTTGTAGCTCAGGCTGATCTTGAACTCACAACAATCCCCCTGCCTCAGCCTCCTGAGTGCTGGGATTACAGGCATGTGCCACCATGCCCAGCATAAATCCATTTTTATATTTAAAGTCCGCTTTGTCCCAGGGCCTGTGCTAGATTCGGGCGGGGGTGGGGACTAGGATAAATATGACACGGTCCCTGCTAACAAGGTGCTGGACTTGTGTCCAGCATGTAAAAGAACAGAAACAGCGGGCTCAGCAGGCCGCACACCGGGGCGGAGTCCCATGGGAGCCCAGAGAGCGGACAATTGCATCCACTTGCCCCAGAGGGGAGGGCTTTCGCAGTGGTAACAACTGAAATGGCCCTGGAAGAGTAAAGAAAAGTTTGTCAACTCGCAGAAGGACAGAGCTGCCCAAGGGTACCACAGCTGGGCAGCACATGGCCCAAACTGGGACTCAGATGGCTTAATGCGGTCCAGAGGTTCCAGTGGCAGGAGGACGGCACGGAAAGACAGGTGGAGACGGAACATGCAGGTGAGGAGTAACCCAGAGGGAGAGTCTGATGGCAGTGACGTGGGCATGGCGTGTTGTAGCCATCACCTCTGTGACGTTCACAATGACCCCGTGAGGTGGGTTCTACTATTTCCACCTTATTTTTAAAACACCTTATTTTGATAGAATGTCAGACTTACTGGAAAGTTGCCAGGATACTACAACTATCTCCTGTCTACCCAGCCTGACCAATTGCTGATGGTAATGTTTTTCTACGTTCTCCTGCAGCTTCTATCTGTGAATCACGTGAGAAGAAGCTATAGTCACCTGGGGTCTCTTTGCTCCTGGGTAATTAGAGGGTGTGTTTTCTAAGAACAAGGCCGTCCTCCTACACAAGAAGGTGCCAAAGTCAGGAAAGCAAACCCCACCCCACAGCTGGACCTCATCGGCTGCACCAAGGATGTCCTTCACAGCCTACTACCACATTCTGCACTGGGTTGTCCCATCCCTTTTGTTGCTTCAGTCATGCATTTTGGCACAAACTGCAGAGAAAGGACTTTATGCACATCTCAGCATGTCATGTGGGCCCCATTTTTGAGCTGAGGGTGCCGAGGCAAAGAAATCCTCGCGTGAGTTCTCATGACCAGTATGTGTAGGGAACTCAGGTCAATCTGTCTGCCTTAGGTTCCTGGTCTACCCCAATGCCTGTGTGCTGAGCTTGGGGTGTCAAGCTTTATTCTGTGGGCAATGGGGAGCCATTGGAGGTTTTTAAATTGCTTTTGTGTTATGTCTAACACTGTCCATACCAGAAGCTGCAAAGTGGTGATCCATTGGCCAGGTATAGTGTGATGCTGACTTTCCTTGGTCCGTACACCATATAGATCGGCTCCCATGGTGTTTCAGAATTTGAATCAGTTTCCCAAATTGTAAGTCAGGTTAGTTACTGAGCATAATGGTGCAGGTTTCTGGATTCTCACGCAAATCCATCAGCTGTGGCAACCCTGAGCCTGCAGTCTTCACTGGTGGGTTTCTTGGGACAAAGAGAGTGATATCTTTAGTCAATCTCCACATCATCATGGGATCCACGATCCTGGTGTCCCGACACGACAGCAGGTGTCAGCTGTCCTTTACTTTCAGCCTGCTGCTTGGCCTCAAAGGTACCCCCAGGACCCACACTAGGTCAGAGACATTTTGTCTTTGTAGAGGCTGTGGACATGTTGTTACCCCTCCCGGCGTCATCAACTTTGTATTTCCTGAAGCGTGTTTCATGGGACGGAGCCGAACTGCTGAGAAGAATCTCTTCCCAACACGAAGAACAAAAGTGGGAGAAGGAAGTTTTGTGATTCTTTTCTGGCCTCCCTGGAAAATCTCCCAAATTTTGTCTTTGTTCCTATGTTCCTAGTTTTTTTTGGAATTCTGAATCTTGAAATCCTTACATGTTATTTTACTCTATCTTTCTCTTGAAAACAAATGTTTAGTAAGTGGGGAAGAGAATCCAAATATTCATGCACAGAGAAAATGACTATTACTAGACACCTTATAAATAACTCCGGTCAAGGGAGAGTGTTCGATTGAAAATAGTTATTGTGTCTTGTCCCATGCCACTCAGGCTGCCAAGCCATACTTTTTATCCAAAAAGCTGCAGCATGTGGGCCAGTCTGCCCTGCCCTGCCCTGCCCGGCCCTGCCCGGCCCACAGGAGTGGTGAATGCTCATTGGTCCAGCTGGTAACGTAAGGAACCGGCTAAGCGTCTTTCCCAAAGACTGGGGAGGACAACTTTCCATTGCACAGATGGTTTAGTGGCGTTTGCAAGCAGGCATTATCGGGTCTCTGGTTCTCTGGCCTGGGCTTTGGGATTCTTTGAAAGAATGCAATGACTGAGCAGAGGGAGAATCCAGTAGTTAGGCATTTGAGACTGGAAATGAAGGTCTTTTTTTTTAATTTCAAGATTGGGGTCATTGTTCTTGGCAGCAACCCTCAATCTGCTCCAATCATCAAAATCACCGTAGACTTCACCCATGTTTATGGACTCAGAATAGGGACTACGAGACGGGTCAGCTGTGAATCCGCACATAAGGCACCCTCGAGGTGATTCTGACAGGCAGCCAGGCTTGGCAGCCACGTTTTTAGCCGTCTTCATACTAGATTGTAAGCGTGAACAGCCTTAGGTTCATAGGTATCCAAGAAGCAGCTGTGATAAACGAAACTTGGACTCCTGGTGCTTTCTGCTTTGGGCTCAGATAGGAGGAAGACAGCAGCAGTCCCTGGGCTGCCCTTAGAGGTTAAAGGCTAAGGTGAATTTTATACAAGTGAAACATCAAAGCACTATAACAGTAGGAGACAGTTACTAAGAGAACATTTTCCTTGTCTTAAAGTAGTGAGAATGCATTGAGAATGCTTTCCTTAGGATCACAAATCACGTCCATCCTGTCGGCGCACATCGGGATTCTCCGTCTCAGTCTAGTCTGCGTCCTCAGTGACAAACGACATAATCAGCCCGATTTCTCCTTGAAACTTGAGCTTCTATTGGCTTCCGCGGTACCACATTCTTCTGCTTTCTCCCTGCTTCTCCAGCTCTTTTTCCTCTACACGACCTCTAAGTGGAGGATTTCGTCTGGTGCCACCTTCGCTTTATTTTCTGTGTCCTTGATCACCATCTGTCTACCCACAGCCCCAGCGAAATGTCAGCGCCATGACTACAGGCAGCGTGTGGAGCGTGGGCCAGAGGCTGCCTTACAGCCTTTCCTGGGAAGCACTTCAAACCCGGGAGGTGTTCTGCTACCCAAAGAGCTTCCTTGCAAGTTACCTGGGACAGGTGGGAGGGCAGCCGAGAGCTTGATCCTTCACAGTGAGCTGGGATTTCCAGGGGACTCTCCGGGAAGCGAAGATCCTTCAGAGTTCTGCGGTCAGTTCTTTCGCCTATCTCGAGGTCTACAATGACATTGAAAACACTGCTCTGTGACCATCTGTAATTACATAAAATCATGTGAATTTGTCTTCAATGCTGGAAACCTTTCAATAGGGGGCCAGTGTGGCCATATTCTTTCCCTAGAAGTAACACTTCCATAATGGGCCCCTCCCCACCCCAGTGAAGGAGACCTGAGAAAGACGTAACAAGCCCAGACTGAGAAATGAATCTTCCCTGCCACATTCTAGAACATTCCACACCAGCCTGCAGAGTGATCCAAAGGAAAGATGAGTGGGAACATTAACCCTCCCAAGGACACACTGAGCTGAAAGATGTCATAGCAACTTCCTCTTTGAGTAACTACTGCTTACTTACTGAGAAATCTTGTTCTGTAAAACAGGGCATCAGAAACTTTGCTGTTTGAAATCGTATCAGTAAGAACAAAATACAGGAGTCTTAGGTGTGGTGGTGCCTGCCTGCAATCCCAGCACTCTGAGAGGGTAAAGCAGGAGGGTCGCAAGTTCAAGCCCAACCCAGGTAATTTAGTAACTTAGCAAAATCCTTCCTGAAAAAGAAGAGAGAGAGAGAGAGAGAGAGAGAGAGAGAGAGAGAGAGAGAAAGGGGGAAAGAAAAAAATAAAGACAGACAGAAAGAAAGAAAAAGAAAAACACCTGACTCCCAAGATCCCAGCCCCTCTAACATAGGAAAGTGGCCTCAGTTTCCACCACGGTGCCCAGCATCCATTCCAAGGTCTCTGAACACAACATTGCACATTGATCTCAGCAGTTTCCAAGGTAACAGAATCTCAGTCCACACCTGATGCTGATCCCTTCACAGAGAGCCCAGCCTTGCTTTGAGAATATCAAAACTGCTCTAATTCATATTTCATCCAAACTCCACCCTTCCTTCCAACCCTACAACTCTTGTCTTTTTTTTTTTTTTGCAGTACTGGGGATCGAACTCACAAGCTTCCCCTTGCCAAGCAGGCTCTTATGCCACTGAGCTATATCTCCGGCCCCGTACAACTCTTGTCTTTTCCATGTCATGGTCGCCTGAGTGTGACCTCTCTCAATGCCATGAGTCCATATGTCTAACTTGCCAGGCGTGGGGCACACGCCTGTAATTCCAGCCAACTTGATCTGCATAGCTCTACCATGTTTCAAAAAACACAAAACACAAACAAACAAGAAAACCAAACCTAACTTGGTTGGACTGTTTGTCTATCGCTTGTGACCTTCAACTGTTAGCTAGGACAGCAGCAAAGTTCACATTCTAGCCCACTTTCTGGTCCAGGGATTCTTATTCCAACACTTCTGATGATAAGTTCACACGCAGGGAGCAGGCACAGAACCCGTTTCAATTCCACACCTTACCTTTGTCCTATCGCTTCATACCTGGAAACTTTCGAGTGCTAACATTCCAACCAGGTTTATGTTCAGCGCTCTTACATTTCTTCTTTACTTTTGGTCCAACAAGTCCATGTTTTAATTCCTGGGAACAAAGAGATGTGTGTCACTTGACATCCATTTTGAATGTTAGGGCTGACGGCCACATGCCAGTGTCCCGGTGCACGCTGACCCCGCGAAGGGGACTGGCAGCAGCCTCTGAAAAGCGCCCTTCCTGCCATGCTGGAAACACAGCTTTGGCGCTGGGCCGCCCATCCATTCAGCGCAGGTCTGGGTGGCAGCCCCTCCCCGTCGTCATGCGGCCCTAGGAGGGGGCAGGGCTTCACACATGTGGCAGGGCATCGCTGCTGGGGAGACAGTAACATCAGGGGACCATCAGATCCAGGGCAAAGGTGGCACGGGGTCAGACCAAGACAGGACTTTTGTACATGATCTGTCCACATGGCCCTTGGACACCCTCCTCCTGCGCGTTCTTCCACGGACTCTGACCCCAGGTTGATTTAAACCTGAGCACCTGCTGGTGTGTGAGTGTGGCCTTGGGCAAAGCTTGCTCTGCCTTGACTGCACTTGCACCCACCTCAAGCCTGCACCCACTGCCTGGGCTCAAAAGACATCCCTAGGCTGCCTCTTGCTTCCCATGACCACACCCTCTTGGCTGCTGCCTTGCCCCAAGCCAGCCCTCCCTGGGCCCTGCGACCTGGCTCTGTCTCACTGATGCCGATGACCCAGGGCCTGATGTCCCAGCTGATCCTTTTAGAGAGGCTGAATGGACTGTCCAAAGATACCAGGATTTGTAAATGTTTGGGCATTAAGAAGTAGAAGGCACCGGGGGCTTCTGCTAGGCTGAGGAATGCATTCCCCAAGTACAAACCCACTGCCCTCTCCTGCCTGAGCCGGAGCAAGCTCACAGTGCCCGGGAAGGACTGGCAGGGAGCTGGTTGCCACGTGAGCAGCACAGTTTTCAATGGGGAAGGCCGGGTGCAGCAGCAGAGCACAGCACACAGTTTAATTTAGCTGCAATTTATATGGGGGTGCAGAGTCAGAGACATCGTGAAAGGCTGACTGAGGATGGGATGGGTCCCTTGGGAGGCAGGCGTGAGGTTTCTGCTTTCTTTGGTGGTAAGGAAAGGGGTAAGGAAGGGTTTTGGAAGCCACAGGGCTGGAAGAGAGGCTGGGTAGGAACTCTAGGCTCCAGGATTTCCTAGAAGGCAGCAGGGGTGACCGAAGGCTGGGGGATCAGTGAAGAATTTGTGATGGTTCACGCTGACGTTGGCTCTGAGGACCTGACTGTGAGCGGAGGTGACGAGAGGACAGGAAAGATTCCCACCGAGAGGGAAGGGACCAAGAACAGAGAAAGGACACGAACGTGCTGTGGTCTCATGACTCGCCTGCTTCGAAGGGCCTCTGAGAACACTTTCAACTCTGTCTTCGGAAGAGGCTGTGCTTGGTGGTTCATAGTCCACTTGGAACACCTTTGTGACAATTCCACTCTGCCTGTTGTCTCTGAAAGTTATTTTAGAAGAAGGAGGATGAGGAGAAAGAGAAGGGGGAAGAGGAAGGGAAGAAGAAGGAGAAGAAAGTAGGGAGGAAGGAAGAGAGGGAGCGAGGCAAAAGAGGGAGGGAAGAAAGAAAGAAAGTAAATAATACATGTTATACAATGCTTCCAAGAAAAAGATGGCTAAAAATGTTATACTATGCCTTATTAGGTAATGTTTGCCACTGAAACTAAACTTTTTTTTTTAATCGTTTTGAGACAGGGTCTTGCTATGCAGCTCAGTCTGGCCTTGAGCTCACTTTGTAGCCAAGGCTGGTCTTGAACTTGCAATGATCCTCCTGCCTCAGCCTCCAGAATGCTATGAAACGAAACATATTTGAACAAATGGAAATGAAAAAAAAAAAAAGGTTTCTAGCAATTAAAATAACTACTTAAAGTTCCTTAGCCTAGCCACTAAATTTAATATATTTTAAAATAAATTGGTGCTATCAAAACATGATTTCTACCAGGCATGATGGCACATGCCTATAATCCCAGCACTCGGGAGGCTGAGGCAAGAGGATTGCTGTGAGTTCAAGGCCAGCCTGAACTGCATGGTGAAACCCTGTCTCAAAAAAAAGAAAAAAAAGACATGGTTTCTGTACAGCCTTTCCTTCTCCGTTCTCATTTGGGTTCCCTATTGCTATGTAACAAATGGCCCTAAAACACAGGGCCTCAAAGCACCAACCCAACAGCCCGGCTGAATAATCTCAGTCAAACCCTCTCTTCCTGTCCTGGCCGCCATTGTGTCTTGCTGGTTCAGCCAGTGACTCTGCTGGAATTGCCCCGACATCTAACACTTTTTAATTTCAGTTATCTTCTTTCTTTGGTGTTCTTGCTTTGCTCTCCATATTTTATCTGTTTCATTAGCAGCTTTTCAGGTTGCTTATGAGCCAATTTTTTATGCCTTAAGATGTTTGAAGCTTTAAATAAGTAAGTGTCCCAACTGGCTTAAGATTCTTTAGGTAAATTCTTAGGAATGCACACACATCAATTCCAAAGCAACTGTGAAATGTTTAACAGCAAACAACATCAAAGTTTCTCTCTCCCTTTTCCTGTTAAATTTTTCACTTGGTCTTAGCCAAAAGGCTGAAAAACAATCCTATTAAACTTTTCATATAAAGGAAACCATACCATGTTCAAGCTTGTGTTTCTGATTTGCTTCACTTAATTTACGGTCTCAAGCTGGGCGTGGTGGTGCACGCCTGTAAACCCAGCACTCGGGAGGCTCAGGCAGGAGGAGCGTTGTGAGTTTGAGACCAGTCTGGGCTACAAAGTGAGCTCAAGGCCAGCCTGAACTGCATAGCGAGACCCTATCTCAAAAAGACAAAAAAAAAAAAAAAATTATGGTCTCAATGTGTATCCATTTTCCAGCAAATGACACGTTTGTCTTTCTTAACGGCAGAGTAGTACTCCATTGAGTGTAAATACCACATTTTCTTTATCCATTCATCTATTGATGGACATATATATAGGCTGCTTCCAAGATTTAGCAAGATGTACAGTGTTATTATACTGAGACAGAACATTGCTGATCAGAAAGCAAGCTTCTAAAGCAAGGCAAAGCATACCTGTAATCCCAGTACTCTGGGAAGCTGAGGCAGGAAGATGGCAAATTCAAATGAGCCTGGACAACTTAGTGACTTAGTGAGACCCTGTCTCAAAATCTTAAAGAGGTGAAATAAAATAAAGTGCTAGTGATGTATCTGTAAAGATCCTGGGTTCAATTCCCAGGACAACAACAACAAGCAGGGCACATGACTGAGTATGTAGAGCCTGGACTGGATCATGGACTCATACATGGCAAACTGGTCCCCTTCCTAAGTTGTTCTCAAGCGCCTGCCTTTTGTCACCTGTGCCCCTTTCTGACCATTTCCTGACATGAAATTCATAGGTCCACATCTGTACACATATTTCCATACGTGAGCCCATGAAAGCACACGTGCGACCATGCCCTTATGCCTTTTTTCCATCCTAGAACTTGACAGTTTCATAAAAATCTATTTTGAAAGTTGTCAGCCGAAATTCTCTGAATGGAAACATGTTTCCATCAGCTCATGTCTGCTGTGGTCGATACTGGCTGCATATTGGCAGCACCTGGAAACTAAAAATACTCACACAGGTCCCACCTAAGAGATTGTTGCATCATTGGTCAGGGGGTGGCCAGCACGGGCACCCTGCAGAGCTCCTTGCATGGCTCTAATGTGCACCTGTGCTTGGCAGTTACAGTCAGGGGCCAACATGCCATGCCCCCTGCACCCAGGCCCTGAGAACGCCCCCATGCTGCCTTCGTGGGTGGCCTTGTGACTTGCTATGGCGCAGGAAGCAGGTAAGACACAGGCCGACACCGGAGAAACACCTGTGGGCTCAGCCTTTCTCCTGCTGCTTTTGGGGCTGAGGCGGGACAGCCTGCTGGAGACACCAGCCACGCAAGTCAACTTTCCTATGCCATCCAGTGCACCATGAGCCAAAATGTGACCACAGCCACGTAAGTGAGCCTGGGCAAGACCAGCAGAAAAGCCACCCTGCCACATGCACTGCCTGATGCACTGCCACGGCATAATGGGCAAACGCAATGGCTGTCCCTAGAAGATACCACGTTTTTTGAGTCATTTGTTACGCAGCATTACCTGATTCAGCAGCCAAGGTTGAGCAGCACTGGCGCTATAACTTCAGTATCCTTTATTTATTATTATTTATTCTTATGTTTTCAGTATTAGAAAAATGATACTCCCTGTTAATTTTTTTTTTTCCTGTTAAGTTTTGGAAGCTGTTAAAATTATCAAGAAAAGATAGCAAACATACATGATAGTATCACAGAGACGATGGCTGCTGTTACGGTTTGTGTCTGCATGTCCCCCCCAAATCCTCATGTAGTCATGGGGCAGGCTTCTAGATTTTTGATTGATTCATGCTCCAATGCTGGAATTAGGGATGTGAGTGCTACACCCACCCTGGGGGTGGGTAGTTTGCATACAATGTAAGGGAGGGAAACTGGCTTGCTTGCCGCTCCTCCATTTTGCTCCTGTTGCTCAATATAAATCTGGCTAAAAGCCCCAACAATAGCCATGCCACTGCCCCAGCGTTCAACTGCCTTGAAATTTCTTTTGCCAGATTAATGAGTCCATCGCCCTTAATCTCAGTCTCAGGCAAAGTCTCTGGACACAAGCAAAATGCAGACAAACTTTCTGCCAAGCCATAACACACATCGTCTGGAGTCCAGCACCCAATGCAGTCCTTCCTTCCAGCAGAAACCTCCCGAATCCAGTCTTTACCGGCAGGATTTCTGTCAGCCTTCTGGTCTTCTGCGCTCTTACCAGAATCTCCCATACAGAACAGACAAACAGTAGTGTTCCAGCTCTACTCTTTCAGGGGACATCTCCGAACCTCTCCAAACACTTCCACAAGCTGTTTCCAAAGGCGTTTGAACCACATCGTCAGGTATAGTCACAGTAACGACCCCACTTCTCTGGTTGCTTTTGCTGTTTTTCCGCCGCCATGAACTGTTGCCCTCTGCCACGTGCCACTCTGCCTTGGAGCCAGTCAAGTACGGGCTGAAACTTCCACAGACTGTGAGCTAAATAAACCTTTCCTTCCTTAATTTTGGATGTCAGGTACTTTGTCTCAGCAATAAGAGAAAAGTAACCAAGACAGAATTTGGTACCAGAGAAGTGCGGTATTGTAAGGCTCTAACCAGACCCGACTCTCCCAGCCCCCGGCCTGCTTGCCAGCAGAAGCACTACTCTGCAAGGAACTCAGCTCAGTACCAAGGTTGTCACTGGCAAGCACAGGAAAGGAGGTGAGATACGACAAGGAAGTTTGCAGGTTCTGGAACATCTGAGAATTCACATTGGACACTTCAAGGACTCTGCCCACTGAGATGCAAGGTTGCCAGAGAACTGTAACCACAGATGTTCACTGGGATCTTCCCACCTGATGTCCCCTGCCTTCTCTCCATCCCTATACTGTGTGTTTCTTTTCTTTTTTGTTTTTTTTTTTTTTCTGGTACTGGGAATTGAACTCACGACCTCACACTTGGCAGGCAGGTGCTGTGCTGCTGAGCTAAATCCCCAGCCTCCATCCCTATAAAAAGGGACACACTTCTCTTTGTTCACTGCAGATGGTCCTATTGCACTCTCTGCCTGCACCCAGGCACAATAAATTTCAGGCCATGTTGCCTTTACACAAGCCTGGTGTTCTTTGCTGGTTCCCTTCAACCCCATATGTTACAGACATGGACCAATTGGTGAGAGACATAAAGAATGACCTTATTTTTTAGCCTCTTGAAAGCTTTATTAACTCCTTCAAACTACTTAGCCATTAAATTACTTCTTCATTCAAATACTACCTGTAGCTGGGCATGGTAGTGCATGCCTGTAATCCCAGCACTCAGAAGGCTGAGGCAGGAGGATCAGTGTGAGCTTGAGGGCAGCCTGGGCTACACAAGCAAGTTCAAGGCAGCCTGAACAATACAGCAAGACCCTGTCTCAAAAAACAAAAAATAAAAAACAAATACTACCTGTAGCCAGGTGCAGTAGTGCACACCTGTAATCCCAGAACTCAGGAGGCTGAAGCAGGAGGATCAGTGTGAGCTTGAGGGCAGCGTGGGCTATATAAGCAAGTTCATGGTAGCCTGAACTACATAGTGAGACCCTGCCTCAAAAAAAAAAAAAAAAAAGAATACTACCTGTGACATATATAGGCCTCTGCCTTGTAGTATTAGACTCCAGAGTGTTTAGCTTAATTTTTCATAACTGAGATGACTTGGTATTTTGTTTTATTTTGCAGTACTAGGGATCTAACCCAGAGCCCTCACACTGATACACTGAACAATAGCCCCAGCCATTTTTTATTTTTATTTTTTAATTTTGAGATAGTGTCTCACTAGGTAACTAACCTACCCAGGCTTCAGTTGAACTCGTGATCCTCCTGCTTCTGCTTACCAGAGCATAATGACTTGTTTTGATAGAAGGGACTTAGCAAGTGAGGAAAGGCCAGACATTCCAATACTTAGTAAAAATAATTACAGTATTATATAAAGGTTTTACAAAATTATTATTTTTATGTGCCAAATGAAAAATCATCTTTGGTATACAAGTTGCCCATCTCCCCAAAAAGCCACGCAGCAGCTTAGCCAGCAGGGGGATCCTGGGGCGTTTTTGTAACCCAGTTGAGTCAGCCAGGTAGAACATTTGGTTTGGGGCTTAATTAAACACATTCCTCAAAAGTGGCCAAACCTGTTTTGCTGCACAAAATGATTTTTGTATGCCAGCCACCAGAACTTGCTCAACATCTGAGGTCTAGGTTTTTTCCCCTCTCACAATATACGGTGAAGGCTTCCTAACTAGATGGTGTTGCTATATTTGCAAATGGGCAGACCCTGAGCAGAGAAGAGAGGATATATGTTCTTCTTCAATTTGCTAAGGTCCACCGAGCTGATACAACAGTAGCTCTGAAGCTCAGTGAGGTCAGCAGAGAATGGTTTTAGACAGGGGGGGCGCAGTGGAACACGGAACTTGGGGGACACAAGAATCATTCACTAAACATGCGCCTGCACCTGAGCCAAGCTTTTTGGAGGCTCCAGCCCTGGAAGGTCTCTTCCTTTGGGAAACCCCAGTGTGGAATTTGAAATAAAAACATTATTAACATAACACTTCAGACAGCTGTGCGCTTAGGACTTGTGCACTCTGCAGCATACCCCCCCAAAAGGTAAATAAAACACAAAAGTTACAGACAGATGATGAAATTAAAATAACTTTATCATTAGTGCCCTTTGCAGCACTGATTGTCACAGAAAGAAGTAACATTAAAACCCAGTGTTACTATATTGGAAGTCAGTTTAATCACTGAGTTCTTAACTTACTTAGACACGGCAATAGCTTTAACTTGTATTTTCCCATCAGGCAGAGTAATAGGTTTTGTGTACTTCAATGTGTTATTTTCACCATAACCAATTTTCTTCACAAATTCAGGTTTGCTGCCATCCAGGGTATAATATATGTTAACATCTGGGGTGTCTGAAAAATCCAAAAGAGAAAAAAACTAAAGTAGCAAGTTGCTGAATAATGCCTACAGATCCATTATTCCAGGAGATTTTCTCTACATATTGTAGAAGCAACAATAAAACTAACAAAAATCCTGTTCTTTCTCTGCATTAGCATAGTGTTACATGAAAGAGCTCACTTCAACTGCATAACATGAGGTAGGTCTGGAAGGTGAATCCCTCAAAGATCAACAAGCTTGCTAAATAATAGAGGAGTTGTGGTCTGACTTCTACTAGGTTGGATCCATTGTCCAACCTCCTGAACTGCTGAGTCTTTCATCCATAGGGCACTGGTATAAATCACATGTGAGTCAGTTTTGAACAACAGAACGCAGAAGCTAATCTTAATTTTTTGAAGCACTTTTCTGTTTTATTTTGGGGTGCTAGGGATTGAACCCAGGGCCTCATGCATGCTAGGCAAGCATTTTTGAATTTTTGTTTTTTTGAGACAGGTCTTGCTGTGCAGTTCAAGCTGGCCTTGAACTCACTATGTAGTCCAGGGTGGCCTCAAACTTGCAGTGACCCTTCTGCCTCAGCCTCCCAGGTTTTAGGCAAGCACTCTTAACAACTAACAAAACCCTGTGGTTTCTCTGCATTAGCACAGTGTTACATGAAAGAACTCACTTCAGCTGCATAACACGAGGTAGGCCCTATTTCATACCCAGTTTATAAAGGGGGAAAATGAATCCCTGAGAGATTAACAAGCTTAAATAATAGAGGAGTCAAGCTCTGAGCTCACTCAGCTACAACTCTAGATCTGGGCATTCTAGCCACTAGACCACCTGGGACCTGACTCCTGGGCATTTCTTAAGAAATGGTTTGTTATATCTTATTTGGACTTGATATATAACTTCTGTACTAGAAAAAATTTTAAATGCAATATATTCATAGGATTCAAAATTCAAAAGGTTAGAAAGGGCTATACTGCCAGCTCCCACACTAGCTGTCAGGAGGCAACCAATGGTTTCTTCCATACCCATCGATATCTTGTATGCACGTACACATGGAGGTACATGTTCTTATTACGCTCCCTTTTTACCCCAGTGCTGGCCTTGTTCCATGTACTCCTGTTTCCACTCATCAGCGTGTCTTGGATACTGTCCTATTCTGACACATAAAAAGCTTCTGTGTTCTTTGTTACAGCCCCGTTGCATTCTTGCCTATAAATGAGCAATAATTTAACCAATTCCCTACAATGGATATACAGGCCATTTGCTTTTCCCCTCCTCGTCTCCCTCCCTTCTTCCTTCCCTTTAGTTTTTGCAATTATAAGCACCGTAGTGAATAATCTTGTAAGTACGCTGTAGAACAAATATGTAGAAATAGTGCTGCTGAGTTAAAACATATGTGTATTTGTAATTTTTTTGGTGCGGGATAAGGACTTGCTGGGTTTCTGAGGCTGGCCTCAAACTCAAATTCTCCTGCCTCAGCCTCTCAAATAGCTGGGACTATAAGCACACACTACTGGCCTGGATTTCCACCTATAATAGTAATTAATATTGCCCAGCTGCCCTCCATGGGTAACTAAGCAATTTACGCTGTTACCAGCAATGCACAGAAGTGCCTGTTTGATTACAGTCTCCAGCAGTGTGGAATCAGTTTTTCTTTTAGTTTTGCTAATTCTCAAAGTTAAAAAAATAGTATCTTGTAGTTTCAACCCACCTTCCTTTTTTTTTTTTTTTTTTTTTTTTTCCACATATTAGAGAAAACATGATTTACTTGTCTTTCTGGGCCAGGCTTATTTTGTTTCCTGGGATGTGAACTCATGACCTCAGGCTTGCCAGGCAAGTGCTTGTGCTGCTGAGCTATATACCTGGCCCCTCTTTTTTTTTTTTAATGTGATGCTGGGGATCAGATTCCAAGCCCTGTGCATAGTAGGCACATGCTCTACCACTGAGCCGCATCCCCAGCCCCTTTCTCTTGTATTTTGATGAGATACAAATTCATTCAACAAATATTTCTGGAATATCTATCATGTGGCAGACACTGTTCTAGGCACTGGGGACACACAAGTGACCCAACTCCCTGCTTACATTTCAGGAAGGACATAAAAACAGTAAACAAACAACCAAATGAATACAGTTTGTCATATGGTGAAGTGCCCTGGCATAAATTAAGCAGGAGATAAAGTATGGCCAATGTTGGCCTGCTCAAGGGGCCCTGGGAGATTTTCACAGGTGAGGTCCCCAGGTTAAAGGACGCACCTACGCAAGACATCAACAACAACAGCAGGCAGCATGGGGCAGAGCAGAGAGCCAGAGCCGCCTGCATCCTTACCGTATAATTCTTATACAGATTGTTATCTCATATGTACATTCTTACATAATGTTGTAACCAGTGCATGCATGTTTACCTGTGCTAAGTCATAGTTACATAACTGTCCCACTGGGTACCTGCACTACACAAGCAGGGTCACATCCTCAGGTCTTCATTTATGTAAGAGACATTTCCATTTCCTTTCTTAGACAATGTCTTTTCACAGCCTTTGTCCATTTTTCTTTAGGGTTATTTTTGGTTTTGGTATTGAATTGTGGAACCTCTTTATTCATTTGACATTGAAATGTTAAAGAATTTGGATACCCTATTATTCGTATTATCATTTGCCAGTAATTATATAACTTCTCTTCAGAGGTATGGGTACTGTATTAAAATTTTTATTTTGGCTTATGATTTTTTAAAAACCATGTTAGGTTTTATTTTATTTTTTTTTATATTAGGTTTTAAGACAAAGGAGGACATAGTACAGGGCAATGTTGGGGAACCTATGGCACGTGTGCCAAAGTAGGCACACAAAGCCCTCTCTGTCACCCCAGCATCACTCCAGCAGCTGTGCATCCGACAACAGTGCAAAAAAAGCACACTAAATGCCAGCTTTTACCTTGAGTAAAAAGCCGTTTGCATCACTGAAAGCTCTGTTATTGTGTTTTTCTTCTAGGACAAAAGATGTTAGTGTGTGACTGTTTTTTCTAAACTAAAATGTCAGTATTCAGGTTTAATTACAGTGTTGGCACTCTGCCATAAATAAGTGGGATTGGGGTTGCAACTTGGGCACTTGTTCTGTAAAAGGTTCGCCATCACTGGTAGAGCATAACCGACTCTTCCTTGGAATTCTTTCTTGGTCTAGGAAGCACAAGGGTCATGCCACAAGTGAAGGTAAGTTGTCTGTATACCTTTTGGTTATTAACATATAAAACTGGAGTCTAAGTCTTTTAATATAAATATTTGTTCAAGTTTTATTTATGAAGGTTTCCTATGTTAATTGCCTATGTATATATACAGGTATGCACATATATACACATATATAAATTCATTTAAGAGTTTGAAGAATAAATATTACCAGGAAATATATTCTGCGCTTTATTTTTGCAATAATAGTTAAGGTTTTTTTCACTAAATGCTATACCACAAGCACCTTACATATGTACCAACTCATTTAATCCTTACAGTGGCTCTAAGTGGTGAATACAACTGTCCTCATCTCACTGTGAAAAAACAGACTCAGAAAGACTGTCATGTGCCCGAGGCCACTAGATGTTGTCAGAGCCTGCACTCAATCTCTAGCCTGTTACATAGTAGCCTATATTAGTAGGACAAATTTATTACCCCAGAAAAATAGTAAGCATCCTGTGAAAGCATGGGGAAGCATCAAAAAACTAGACATTGTCCCTTAGCTGAGTGAAGATGTTGCTGCAACTCCGCACCTGTACAGATGAGAGTTTAGTCAAAGCCAACCATTTTTATCTAAATATATGCCACTCTCTACGTCATCAAAGAGCAACACGGATTCAAACTGTGGAAGTTTTGCAACTTCTTAATTCCTGATTAAAGACAGCATGCAAAAAGGGATCAGGCAGCAACCACATGAACACAAAGAGTGCCGCAAGGTTATTTTTAAAATAATTTCAAATCCATGAGATTCCTACCTGATTTCATTTCCAAAAGAGTATTATTATCAATTTCATGGTTCGCTTTCCCAGGCTGAGGCACTCGCAGTGGTATGATCTGAGGGACACACACGGAACCAGCCGTCATGTTCGCTCCTTAAATCAAAAGAGTCGATGAAAACAAATGCCATCATGCAAAAATTGAAAAGCAGCTGCTCATTTAACTGTAGCAGAACTAGTAAGATCTAAAGGCAACATTGCTACTATGCCCCCTGCAAATATCAGCCTATTTTTAATTGAAATAATGATTACATTTCAGCTGCATTTTTGCTGATGAGGTCTTTTTTTAAACATTATTTATTTTCACTTATTGCTGTTATTTTTGTTTTTCCATTTTTCTCACCAATTTGTTTTCTTTTGAGATAGTGTCCCACTATGCAGTTCAGGCTTGCCTTGAACTCACTACATAGCCAGGCTGACCTCAAACTTGTGGCAATCCTCCTTCCAATCAGCTTCCCAAGTGCTGGGATTATAGGTATGAGTCACCATGCCAAGCTGCTGATGAGGTCTTGTGTGGGGAATGTATCTATCTCACTTCTAAGCAAGAAGCAGGAATGATGGAGGGAAGGAGTTGCTATTTTACATGACTAAGGCAGCCAGGAATGGTGGTGCATGCCTGTGATCCTAGCACTTGGGAGGCTGAGGCAGGAGGATCACTGGGAGTTCAAGGCCAGGCTGAGCTATATAATGAGCTGAAGGCTAGTTTGAACTGCATAGTGAGACCTTGCCTCAAAAAAAAAAAAAAAATTAAAAAAATAAAAGTAAGTAGATGATTAACACAGCCGCTGGGTGTGGTGGCACACACCTGTAATCCCAGCACTCAGGAGGCTGAGGCAGAAGGATCATAGTAAGTTCAAGACCAGCCTGAGCTACAAAGTGAGCTCAAGGCCAGCCTGAACGGCATAGCAAGACCCTGCCTCAAAAAGACCAAAAAAAAAAAAAAAAAAAAGACTAACACAGAACAGAGACCATCACTAACTTCCTGACCTCAGTTTCTTCTGGAAAACTGAAACTCCTTCTTGCCTCTGGTTAATGTCCATCTCTCTTGACCTCAAGGGAAATCATCATACAGGGTAAACAGAAGCAACTCTATGTGCAGCATGAAATGTTATTTTTAAATGTATTTTTTGTTTATCGATTTATTTTTGAGACAGGGTCTTGCTTTATAGTGCAGGCTGGTTTCCAATGCACAGCAATCAACCTGCCTTAGCCTCTTGAGTGCTGGAATTACAGGTGTGTGCCACCATGCCTGGCTCCCAGCTCTTTTATAAACATTTCTCATTTTTTATTCTGAGTTTCACCAAATTGCTAAGGTTGGGCTGGAACATTTATTTATTTATTTAGAGACAGGGTCTTGATACATAGTCCGGGCTGGCCTGGAACTCGTGGTGATCTTCCTGCCCCAGCCGCCTGAATGCTAGGATTACAGGTGTGCACCACTGTACCCATCTAGGCTAGAAGTTTTGAGCCTCCTGCCTCAGCCTCCCAGAGTGTTGGGATTACAGGTATGCACCACCACAAACGGCTATAGTCTACTTTCTGCACATTCATTTTATTATTTACAATTTACTTAACCTTATGAATTTGTGACTGGGCTTTTAGACTACATGGAGCATCTTTTTGGTGTTCGTTGTGGCAACGCTAACAGTGCTATTGTGCACAGCTCGGTGGTTTGAGTCTGAGCTAACCGTATTCTCAGGAGTGGGACAATTAGGTTGAAGAGGGACTTAACCTTTGGCCGGATGGCTCCTGATGGAAGAATACAAATTGCAGGTACTGACAGTGCTCCACCAGGGCCCACGGAATTGTGGTCGGATATGGGGGGACTTGCTCATACTCACACTGCCATTCAAGTGGGAGAAGTTACAATAAAAATAGTTGAAAATTAGTTAGAAATAAACATGGAGAGTAATTCGCACGTAGGGACTGTAGCTGACCTTGAGAAGTTGGGATGGCTACTGGTCCTCAAGCAAAGGGGTGAAAAAAGCTGATTCTAGTCGCAAACTGCAGATGCGGCCCACAGCATGCATCTCCACCTCCCAGATCCCTGCACCTGGACCCCCTCCTCGCTACCCATATGCAGAACCCAGTCCGGTCCTCCGCCCCCTCCCATCAGGGACAGTCAAGGACGCCTGCATCCTTCCCTCGGAGTGAGGGTGGCCCTCCTCCTCCCCCTCTCCCCCTCCTGTAGCGGAGAGCGAGATCTGGAGCCCCGGGCTCCCCCCCAACCCACCCGCCCCCAGCCCCCAATCTGCCGCCTGCCCCTCACCTCTTCTAGCTTTCTCTTTCGCTGCCGCTCGGGTTACCACAGACGCGGCGAGGGGTGGCGTGCCCACTGGGAGCTGAGCAGATGATTGGCGGAAAAATCCGCTTCCTAGCAACTAGCCCCGCCCTCCCCACTGGGCGGGGTGACTGGTACCCTCCAGGAGCTCCTTCCAGTGTGCTTTGCTGTAGGCGTCCAAGAATATGCCTTCACAAAGGTTTGAAAGCGCGGAAAGGTGCTGTCTCCGCTAAGCATGACGGAACGTGTTTCTCTGTCCGACAGATATTGCCATTCTGACCATGAATAAGAAGCTGTAGCGGCGCCGGAGAGTGGCGCGGAGCAGGCACAGCTTGGCTGCCTAAGGCCGACAGGCAAGGAAGGACCGGCTGCGACTCGAAAAGGAAGGCCCCCGCCCCCGGCCCGGTGCTGTCTCTCTGGTCTCCTGTGGTTCCCTGGCTGGCTTCTGCGCGCGTCTCTTCTTCCAGGGCCGAGGACTGCGCTCTCATGGCTGAAGTCAAGGTGAAGGTGCAGACGCCCGACGCGGTTCCGGTCGAAATAGAAAACAGGTAAACTGTTGAGGCTCAGATCCCGATTCGGGACCCTCGCGGGCGGCCTGTCCCTTGGGCAACGGACCATTTCTTTAGGGGTTCTCAAAAGAGGCCTTTCGAGCCGGGAGGAGCACGCGGACAGTGATTCTTGGACACGCCGCCCCACTCCCTGGAGAGCAGAACTCTAAGCAGTTCAAAACGGGTTTGACAGCTCGCAGCTTTATCTCGGAACCTGAAAGTTGCGATGTTGCACGTCCCTCCGCATTAAGGCAGCCAGTCGCATGACAGAAGACTTGCTTTCTTCTCGAAGTGCTTGTGGGTACATGTTGTAGTCCAGGGTTTTCTGTAATTCTCACAACAGAACGTTTGGACGGAGCTAGAGTGCAGTTTGTGAGTACAGAGCAACAGCATGCCAGATGATTTCTCTGGACTGTTGAATTCAGGATTCTAGGGCACCTAAAGCCTCTCCCAATTTTATAGTATACCATTGTTTCTTTTAATCTTTCAACAGTCTTAAAAGAACCCAAATTTCTCATGCTGTCGCGAATAACATATTTATTGACCCTAAGACGAGATCTGGATTTGTTTGGTAGGCATGATCTGCCAGACAAGCCCCAATTATGGAGAGTTATAACACATTTGGCTTCTCACTAGAAATGTCCACATTTACCTCGTGCTTACAGACTTATGACTTAACTTTGTTTTACATCTTCCACCTGATAAAATTGAAGTTTCTCTGTTTTAATTAGACTTTGCTGTAATTTCAAGTTCATATTTGTGAGGAATAGAAAAATCCTCTCTAAATAACACCAAGTGTCTTTCTCAGTTTTTAACTTGCTTGGTTCAGGACTGTCATAGAAAGCCAGATTGTCTGCCAAGTGTGGGAAAAGTACAGTTTCAAACTGTTTTGCCTGTATTTTTCCTCCACTACCCCTTGAAACAAGTAAACATGATATTATTAAAACCTTTGTTTTTAGGATTATAGAATTATGTCACCAATTTCCTCATGGAATCACAGACCAAGTAATTCAGAATGAAATGCCTCATATAGAAGCCCAACAGCGGGCAGTGGCCATCAATAGACTCTTGTCCATGGTAAGAAGAATCCAGTTGGTTTCACATACAGTAATTATTTATTATGATTGCCATTGCCTCACATGTAGTTGTAATGGTTAATTTTCTTTGTTAACTTGACTAGAGCTGGGATTCCCAGATGTCTGGCTTAATGTTGTTTCTAGGAATGTTCTGGAAGTAATTAGCGTTTTAATTGGTCCTCTTTGGGGTGTGTGGACATGATCCAGTTCACTGAGGACCTGAACAAAAATGCAGAGGAAGGTTCAACCTACTGTACCTGTTTGAGCTGGGACATCAGTCTTCTGCCATCATCACTGTTGGTACTAAGGGTCTTCGGATTCTGACTAGAATCTATACCATGGGCTCTCTGCTTCTCAGGGCTCTGAACTATACCACTGACTCTCTCAAGTCTCCAGCTTGCAGAAAGCAGATCACAGGACTTCTCAACTTCCATAATTTCATGAACTGCATGGGTAAAGTAAGTCTTTACTAGTGAGAGAGATGTGTGTGTATTCTTTTTCTCTGAAGAATCCTGAGTAATACACTAGACATAAAACTAGAAAGTGTGTTACACTCTAGTTGTGTCTAGTAAGACTCCAAACCAAGAAGCAACCCAGACCTCTTGAATTAAAAAAAGAATTTATTAACCTAATTAGTAGGTAAGAGCACATAAGCATAGTCTGTTTTTACCTTCTGTTTGCTTCCTGCTGCTGGTGTTGCAGCAGCCCATGTAATATAGTGTCCCTCTGATTTTTCTGAGTCATCACAGGGTCTGTTTATTGGGGTAACCCGCTCCACAGTGTTGCTGAGTTTTCAGAAAGCAGGAATAAATCTGTTTGAGAGGCAGCAGCTTTGAACCTTTGGAAGTTCAGCCCTCAGCCTGCAGACACAGCACGTTGGGAGTTTGCAGAGAAGCCCATCTGCCTATTCTCACCTGTTTTGCCCTTCTTAAGAACCTGGGGCCTTACTGCTGTTCTCCTCCAACTTTATAAAACATCCCACCTACTGGTAGTGTACTTCATGCTGTAAATCTTATTTCTTCTTTGTTTCTCCCATTGTGAAAACTCCCATTTCTTGAGAGCATTTCCATTTTATGAGTAATTAGGTAAGAGTTTTGTACAGGGCCTCATCTGTATGACTGATTTGACTTTTTCTTTCTTTCTTTCCTTTTCTTTTTTTTGAGAAAGGGTCTCACTGTGTAGTTCAGATTGGTTTTGGATTCACTGTGTAGCCCAGGGTGACCTCAAACTTGTAGCAATCCTCGTGCCTCAGCCTCCTGAGTGCTGGAATTACAGGCATGCACTACCATGCCCAGCTCTGATTTGCTTTTTAAGTCTGCCAGTGTTGTGGGATTTTAAGGAATGTAGATATGGAGATTTGGGGACTGGTGATCTATTTGTTAAACCATTTCTTTCAATATTCTGTTTCAAGGGCTGGCAAACTTTGTGTAAAGAGCTAAGTAGTACATCTTTTAGGTTTTGTGGGCCCTGTGGTTTCTGTAGCAGATTCTTAATTCTTGTCATTTGAACAAGCAGCAGTTATGGGTGATGATACATAAGCAAATGTGTGTGGCTGTGTTCCAATGGAATTTTATTTATAATAAACAAGCAGGGGGCCAAAGGTACCCGTTTACCCCAAAGGTAAAGGAGTGTCTGGAAGTTCTAGTGATTTGACCATACTAAACATCTATAGCTTCTAAGGAAGGTATGGTAGCGCACCAGTATAGTGGTGCATGCCTATAATCCCAGTACTCTGGGACGCTGAGACAGGAAGATAGCAAGTTCGAGTCCTGCGTGGGTAATTTAGTGACTTAGCAAGACCAAGACCCTGTCTCAAGAATAAAAAATTTTAAAAAGACTGGAGATATAGTCTACTGTGAAGGCCCTAGGTTCAATCCCTAGTACTCCTTGCCTCCCAAAAAAGGAAGTGTACAGCTCCAGGAAGGGCAGGGGTTGTGGCAGGGGATAGATAGTACTCCTCTGTGTTACCTGACTTCCCTCTTAGCTTTCTCTTCCTGCCTGGAGAACATCCTCAGTGTCTTCTTCTCTTTCACTGTCTCTGCTCCTGCCACCTACTTCTTGTCCTATTGGTTACAGGGTATAGGCAGGAGCAATTGAAAGATTTTGAGTAAAAGAGTGATTGTTAATAAATCACTAAGTGTTGCTAGTCTTAGCTCTTAAACAGTGTTCACATTTCTCCCCATCTCCATTCCTATTCTTCCTGCCTGTGTTCAGGCGCTTGCACTTTACCTGGGCTGTTGCAGCAACATCCTGACTGGCTTCCTGGACTCTGTATGCCTCAGAGAGCCACTCCCCCACCTCTGATCTGCCAACACTCTATTGTGTATCTCCAGATACAAATCCAAACTCCTGGGTCTACCACACCGTACCCCTGCCTTCGCTGCAGGCTTATGTTCTTTGCCACTCTGCCTCAGAAGTTACTTGTCAAAGGAAGTGGACTGTGTTTGTTTTCCTGCCTCATCACACTGCTTCACACATCAGGGCCTTGGCTTGTGCTGTCTTCCCTTCTTGCAAGGCCCTTCTCTTTCTCCTTGGACTCACTGACCGCAGTGATCATGGGGATTCAGCTCTGTAACTGTCTCCAGGAAGTCACCTAGAAATGCAATGTGGGCCATAGATACCTCCCTGAGTACCTTCCTATCCTTAGCTCTATCGTAATGCCCACCAGAGAGTGCTAAAGTTGGTTATATGCTTCCCTGTTAGGGTTTGCTTGCCGAGGGCTGAAGTTGTGACTAAGCATGAGTGAAGCCCTGAGTTTGATTCCCAGTATGGCAAAAAACCAAAAAGTGTATGGTTCTTCCTAAATGACCTATCATAGCACCTGGCACAATAGAGGTGCTCAGTACGTGTTCATAGGCAGAGTAAATGACCAAGTGGAATCTCTGAATTGAGTTTTGTGGTCCCATTTTGCCATTGGTAGAGTTGAGGGGGGTCTTGCAGTTCATCCAATATGTAAATCAGTCTTCAGATCTTCTGCCTTCCTGGCCTAACACACAGGGATGGGGGCTTCTCAGCCACCTGGGTTCTCCTAAAGTGAGAGCCAGTGGAAGCTCAGAAGCATAGCAGAACATACTTTGTCTTGCTTTTGGTATAAAAATAATACTACTTTGAGCCTTTTATCCATAAGTTGACTTCTGCACCTAATTTTCGTGTAATAAGATAAAAATTATGTGCATCAGTAAATGTCATTCTTTACTTTATAATTTTATCATTGTGCTATTGAATATTTATGCATGTTTAGCTGTTTAGCCTTATCTGAACTTTTTATTTAAACAGACTATATATGTTACATATATGTTTTTATTTTTTATATTTTGGTCACTAGAGACTAGGTCTTGTTAGGTAGCCCAGGCTGGCCTAAAACTCATGATCCTCCTGTGTTAGCCTCCCAACTGCTATAGATGTGTGATACTATACCCTGCCTAAACAAACGTTTTAATTTTTATTATATTTGTTTCTTTACCTATTTTCTCTTATTGCTGGGACAAATACCTGACACCCAAAGTTAGAGGAGGAAAGGTTTATTTTTGCACACAGTTTGTAGAGGTTTCAGTCCGTAGTCAGCTGGCTCCAAGGCAAGGTGGCATGGCAGAGGGACATTGCAGAGGAGAAACAGTTCATGGGAGGTAGAAGGCAGCAAGCAGCAAGTAACAAGCAAAAAGCAGGAGCCTTCTTTCTGTCCCTTATATTTTATACAGACTCGCCACCCTTAGGGCAGGTAGCAATCACACCCAGGGTAGGCAGCCTTAAGCCTAGTATCGCACCATGAACCAATCCCAGCATCATCCCTGATCACAGCATCACACACTGTAGGTCCAGACACCTCTGAAAAGCCCTGCATATGACCACATGAGGCTTTAGGGGACATCTAGGCACAAACCATAACACGTATATTATTTGGATCTGAATATGGATTTTTGTTATTTTAAAGCCCCTTTAAACTTTTTTTAATGTATTGGTCATATAACTAAACCAGGATCTAGCATGTGGGAAATTATTAGTATTGATACTTTGATGTATTTTGAGATAAGTAGTTAAGTTTTGAAAGTACATTGTATATGATATACATGTAAAAACTTCAGTTTCAGGTAAGAAATTAACAAATAAATGTGGGAGGTAGACTCTTGCAGCCTGTATCATAAAAATACTAAACAATGCATTAACATTTGATGTTGGAATTAATATATCTCCAAAATAATTGACTTCTGTTTTCTATTAAAAAAATCCTTAGGGTCAGTTGGATCTCTTAAGAAGTAATACAGGCCTCTTATACAGAATAAAGGACTCTCAGAATGCTGGGTAAGCACCTATCTTTTCAATTTTAAGTAATGTATGTGTTAGTAAAAAAAGCTGACACAAAGCTGTTGTAATGTAAACTTGTCCTGTATCATCCCTGCTTCCTGTCACATTCCATTTCCCAGTGTAACCTCTTAGTAATGTATGTGTCCTTTTAGCTAGATATATAGACATATAAATACGCATGGACGATTATATATTTATATATAATCTCTTTTCTTTTTCTTTTTCTTTTTTTTTTAAACAAAAATGGGATCATGCTGTCCATACTATTTGTAACTTGCTTTTTTCACTTACTGTATCTTGGACATCTTTTCATGTCGATACATACAGCTCTGTCTCATTCTTTTTAAGGTAAGCCCGTTTAGTAAATAAGCCACTGTGATGGCTTTGTCTGCCGATTCATTTACATAGTCGTGTAGATATTAGGTTAATCACCCCCACTTTCCCTTCTTAACTCTACTTTATTCCCCTGCAGTAAAATGAAAGGATCAGATAACCAGGAAAAGCTAGTCTATCAGATCATAGAGGATGCAGGAAATAAAGGTGAGCTGGTGAAGGATCAAGTGGTGAGGTTTAGCAGGTAGAGTGTCCTGCTGCCATTCTTGTGAAAGGGAGGGAGGGGACGGAGCGAATATCCTTAAAACGTGTAGGCTTGAAGGACATCCAAGGGTGCCACTTTTGTGGCCAGAGATAGGAAGAAACCTGTGAATTCTGCGCCACATGAATGAATTACCTTTTCAAAACTTAAGTTTCTTTTTGTTTCTTTTTTGTCTTTTTGAGATAGGGTCTCGCTATGCAGTTCAGGCTGGTCTTGAGCTCACTTTGTAGCCCAGGCCGAGCTTGAACTTGCAACCATCATCCTGCCTCAGGCTCCCAAGTGCTGGGATTACAGGCATATGCCACCACCCCTGGCAAGATTGTTTTTTAATTGTCATTTTTTAGCTATATGACTGTCTGAGTCCATTTACTATTGCTACCTAGTTAAATACCACAGATGAGGTAATTTTATAAAGAAAAGAAGTTTGCTTTTTACTGCTCTGGAGGCTGGGAAGTCCGAAGGCCTGCACCACCTCTAAGCACCTGCTTGCTGAGGGGACTGCTATGTGGAGTCCCTCAAGGGCTCACTTTGTAAACACAGCTGTTGACTCGGTGACATGGTGATGCATGGACTGGTGACCCAGGCATCTCCCATGGGTGCCCCCTCTTAAGTGTCACTAACGTATGGCTTTGCAGATGAGATTTCCAACACGTGAAATTTGAGGGACACATTCAAGCCATAACCATTTTGTTAACCTCTGTTTCTTCGTCTTGGTGTAAATTGTGGATAATGATACCTTGGACACATAATGTAGCATGGCAGTGTCTTGACTGGTGTTCCTCACAGGTCTACTTCCCTAACCCTCTTGCTGAACAGTGCCAAGATTGTAGATGTCACTAGGTGCGGTGGCACATATCTGTGATCTCAGCACTCTGGGAGGCTGAGGCTTGCGGATCACAGGTTTGAGCCTTGTCTGGTCAATTTAGTGGTTAGTGAGACCATCTCAAAATAATAAAAGGCGAGGGGATGTAGCTCAGGGTGAAGGCCCTGGGCTCAGTTCCCAGTATTGGTGGTGGTGGTGGGGGCGGCGGCGGTGGCGGGGGTAGAGGGGGGCCGCTTTTTGTCAAAAGGTTTGCTGTCAGCTTTATTTCGATAGTTTTGGAATGAGAAACAGCTATAGGAATGAAAGTAAAAGTCCATAAACACTATACTTCAGTGTCCTTTCTTTGTTATAGGAATATGGAGCAGAGATATACGATATAAAAGTAACTTGCCATTAACGGAAATCAACAAAATTCTAAAGAATTTGGAAAGTAAAAAGCTTATCAAAGCTGTTAAGTCTGTAGCGGTGAGTGTCTTTCTATATTTTCCCTCAAAATATTCACTTACATTTGTTGTTGCAAGTATATTTCAAATTTTATTCTTTGACTTATGTTGTGATTTAAACGTAATTCCAGCTGGGTGTGGTGGTGCACGCCTGAACTCCCAGCACTTGGGAGGCTGAGGCAGGAGGATTGTTGCAAGTTTGAGGCCAGCCTGAACTGCATAGCAAGACGTTGTCTCAAAAAGACAATGAATGAATGAATGAATGAATGAATGAAATGAATGAGTGAATATAATTCCCGCTCTTAGGAGACTGAGGCTGGAGAGTCTCAAGCTTCAAACCAGCCTAAATGACTATATATTGAGTTTAAGGCCAGCCTAGACAAAATAGTGAGACCTTGTCTCAAGAAAGGAAGGAAGTAGCCAGGCATGGTGGTGCACAGTGTAATCCTAGCACCCGGGAGGTTGAGGCAGGAGTGTCTCCATGAGTTCAAGATCAGCCTGGGCTATATGGTGTCTTCAAGGCGAGCCTGGACTACGTATCAAGACCCTGTCTCACAAAAAAAGAAAGGAGAGAGAGAAACAAAGGAAGAAAGAAATGATTTCTACAAAACTAAAGGCAAAAGGAAGTGTCTCTTAGCATTGCAGTTGAGATGATGAAGATCTTTCCATGAGGATGCTGCTTAGCCATTGCGATATTGTTATACTGTATGTAGTGCACTGGAACTCAACATTCATGTAAACAATGGGAGCTGCAGTTACAGTGCAGTTCAGACACAGGTTAGCGGCACAGGCCCCTTCCAGACTGTCCTATCTTTCCCCACCAGTCACAAGTGTAGGCCACCCACACTTAGACCACCTGGCAGTGAATTTGGGCATTCCAGCGGCCCATTTGAAAGAGCCATACTGGGGGCTGGGGATTTAGCTCAGCGGCAAAAGCGCCTGCCTGGCAAGCGCAAGGTCTTGAGTTCGGTTCCCGGTACCGGAGAAAAACCAAAAAAAAAAAAAAAAAAGAAAGAGCCATACTTCCCATGATGATTCTAGGATAAAGGACACAAAGTACCAGCCAACCAAAGATACAGTGGGGCAAGGATGGGATGATTCCAACGTGCAACTTGCACATCTCGAGGATATATCACCCTACTGATGGATTGGTGTGTGATCACCAACCATGGCAGCTCTCTTAGTTACGTTCTCATTCCTGAGATAAAATACCCAACACACACAACTTAAAGGAGGAGGTTTATTTTGGCTCATGTTTTGAGTTCATGGTTGGTTGGTTCCAAGGAGGGAGGGGCATGGTGAAACGGCTGAAAAGGAAAGCTGCTCACATCATGGCACCCAGGAAGCAGAGAGTAACAGGAGGAGTTGGGAAGGGAGATGCACCCTTCCAGGTCACACCCCAGGTGGCTTCCTGTTCCGATCAGCCCTTACCTCCTAACAGAAAGCTGTAAACCCCCAAGAGTCTGTCACCTTCCAAAAGCCCTGCCTACTAATGCATGGGGCCTTTGGGGGACATTCCCAATCTAAGCTGTAACAGAAGCTCCCCCAAGCTGTGATAGAGTTTTTGTTGGGGTTTCATTACATAGACATGGTTATTGTATTCTTGGCCACATAACTGAATTCAAGCTTTACATCCCCTCTTCCCCTCAAGAGGTTAGACTAGTATCACATGGCTCAGAGCTCTAACCCTGTAATTGCATGGACAACTCCCATCCCAAAGCCACTTAGGGATCCATCGGGAGCCAACTGTTAGCATAGACCCAGGTGTGATCCAGGAGACATGCTATGAATAACAAAGGTCCTCATACTGGTTTGTTTGTTTTTTGGTACCGGGAATTGAACTCAGGACCTTGCGCTTGCCAAGCAGGCACTTATGCTGCTGAGCTATATCCCCAGCCCTGGGTCCTCACATTGGGAAGTTCCAAAAATGTAGAGGTTACTTCCCAGGAATGGGGAGAAAGACTAGTCGGTTCCTTATGAAACAACAGTGAGATTCAGGTTTCTGACTGTTGGAATAGGAAGTTATGGATAAACAAGGGGCAGAGGCTAGGCTGATCATGTGGAATGGATTAGAGCTGAGAAAGGCAGCTTTATACTTGGTTTAGTGTATGTAGGTGGTTCCCATAGACATAGTCATGATATATATGTGTATATATAGGAGTTGGTGGCTACACAAATCTCTTTGCCCTGTCAGCTGAGAAGGCCTGAGAGTAGCAGCGCCCCGGAGCCAGGAACATACCCAATGCTCAAGTCCTGGTTTCTAATTCCATTGTCCAATACAGTGAGCCAGGGCTCCTTGGAGTAATGGCTGATTCTAGGACTTAGGTAGGAAGTACATACACTGCTTTTGACATCTGGTCACATGAGAAAGTGCTACTGTGCACACACACGCATACACATACACATGCACGCACAGTGATGGGGGCATGTCAAAGGGATACAGAACCAACTGAAAAGTTTCCATGCCTAAAACTGAAACAGTTGGAATAACAAAGTAGTATTGGATTGGAACTGATACTGTATAATAAATATCATGAGTCCACACAGATTGAGAAATTATCACAACCAAAAGGAGCCTAAGGAGATGGCAGCTGCACGTAATGTGGTACCCTGGGTGGGATCCTGGAGCAGAATAAAGTCAGTAGGGGAAAAACGCGTGAAATTCGGAGTGTGAGCTTCAGCTACTCATGCTCTCAGGTGGGTGCAGCGGGAGAGCCTAGAGTCCCTGCAGCTGGGATGTCTTGAGGCCAGCGGCTTGAGACCAGCCTGGACAATGTAGTGAGACCCCCCACCTTAAAAAGAAGAGAGGCTGTATCACTAATCCTAACAAGTGTGGCATACTAACTCAAGATGTTACTAATAGAGGAAGTAAAGTATATAGGAATAATTTGTTCACCTGAAATTGTTCTAAAATAGTTTTTTTTTTTATATAGATTTAGGAAGCTGTCATAAACACACTAACTGTGCATATTCTTCCCTAGGCCTCCAAAAAGAAAGTGTATATGCTGTACAATCTGCAGCCAGACCGATCTGTGACTGGCGGGGCCTGGTACAGTGACCAGGATTTCGAATCTGAATTTGTAGAGGTGCTCAACCAACAGTGTTTTAAATTCCTACAATCCAAGGTGAGGCAGAATTGAGGGAATGTCACAAGTCCTTTTTTAAAAAGTTTCTTCATAAAAGATATTTAGTCTTATATATCATTTTGTAAGATTGAATCTAAAATGCTGAAATAGGTCACTTTTACTGAACACAGTAAGTTCTGCTGATGGTTTGACTCCATATAAATTGCATTCAGAAAACACTCTTAATATTCTTGCTTAGATCTCTTATATTTCAATCCCTACAGGCAGAAACAGCTCGAGAAAGCAAACAGAATCCAATGATTCAGAGAAATAGTTCATTTGCATCATCACATGAAGTATGGAAATACATCTGTGAATTAGGCATCAGTAAGGTCAGAGCTTACTTTCTTAACTTTTCATGTAGAACCTACCGTCATCATAGGGATGTAGTTCACAACATGTTCCTGTCGTTTTTGATCTAGACCCTTTTCTGGTGATGGCTTTCAGCGCTCCCCAGAACCTGCTCACGGGAAACACTATCCATCGGGCACTGTCTGCTCTGTCCTCTAGCTGGGGACATAGGTGGCAGACAGCCGCGCAGTTCACCACCCAGAGTCAGGACACGTTCTTGAGGACAGTTTAGCAAGAGTGCATAGTAGCAGACACCTTGTCACTTGTCATCACCGGCATTTTCCTCCTTAGGAGACCTAAGTGGTATCATCAGCATGTCCCTTTGAGGGACATGTCCTACTCAGCAGAGCTCAGGTGGCACTTGGATAGGTCATCAGCACTTCCTGGGACCCAGATTTCTCTCCTATAATGAACTAGGAACTTTGACTATTTGGGTTTTGCTGTTTCTTTTCATTTATTGTTTTGCCTTTGCTTTTGTGTGTGTGTGTGTGTGTGTGTGTGTGTGTGTGTGTGTGTGTGTGTGTGTGTGTG